CATATCCATGCATCAAGGAATACAAATTGTAAGGAAAGGAAAGATATTTTTGCACTCTTGATTGTAATACATTTCAATTTTCATTTGAGCAAAAATTAATTAATTAATTATTAAATCACTACCGAGAACTTCCAACAGCCAGGTAGCTTAATACCGAATACGTACCAATATAATAATATTATCTTGGTTAATAAATGATAGTAGCAGAGAGCAGTCCATTAAAACTCCCAAGCTAAATTCAGAGCGGTTAAGTAATTAAAAACGCAATTAATTAAGTTGAAGATAAAGGTATGGGCCATGCCAATCCAATGTAATTATTTTTTGGTACGATGAAAATAAATGAGCACGTCGTTTTTAGGATGGCATTTTACTTACCAAAATCCCATGACTCTACTTACCTACTAATAGATAGAGCTGATCAGCTTTCATCCTATTTTGAAATGTTTTTAAATTGATGTTTAGTATGACTTACCTAAGATAGTGTTACGTACCTAACTACGTAGATCAGATAGGTAGGTAGATTTACAAGTAACTTGCAGATTTTAGAGAAGTTTGAAAATTTCTCACAATTTGGTATAACGAGGCCATGTTAATATTACAGTTAACATGCTAAATTGTAACTTCATCTTGAAGCCAAAGTAGAGTGAAGTATATTAATGTTCCACAAATTTTCCCTGAAGTTGTCAATGTTTTCGGTACGAACGATTCGATAATTTAGAAACAATTCCAAGTATTACATAACAAGTGGATTGGGTTGGGTAGCCATGTAGGTACCTGCTTAATAACACCCGTATTCACAAGCAGCAAATCGAACGGACAACGTTGAATAGAGCTCTGTGATTGGTTCGTGTGTGACCCTGCGCGTCCACACGCACTGTGAGACCTCATAGTAATGTTTGTGATTACGGGCGTAAATCTATTTGTAAATATCAGCTCTCTAATAAGATAAACAAGAAACCGAGAGTCGGTAGTTCTACAACTGTTCACAACTCACACGAAATTGTTCACACTCACACACAACACTCACGGACAGTCGATCCACCAATTTCCTTGCTTCCATTAAAGGTATTCATTTACTTGTCCCCTTTTACTGCCCAACATAAGGTAGGTACGTATTATAACGCCAACATTGTATTTATGTTATGTACACTTTACTTCCCCGGGAACACTCCACTCCCGCTTTGAATTTATAACTAGAACCGGGAGTAAGTAGGCAGAAGGCAATAAACAGGAAACGTGCTAAAAGCTTCCAGGCAAGATTCGAAACTTAGTGGATACTAGAGAATCACATTAAAATAACAAAATAGCTTACTCATTCTATTTCGATTTCCGGGAAGCCCTGAAATTTCCTAAATCAACAAAGAAATTCAAGAAACTTGCCCTCGATTTTTAAGTGCTTGTACCTAAATTCTTATTATTTATTAGACGGGTCGTAACGTAAAAAAATGTTAAAAGTATTTGCATAAATAATAAAGATACGTAAAAAAGAACTAAGGGAACATAAAAGCCCCAAGGAAAAGCCTACCTAAAAAAGATACCTAATAATGAAACGAGTGAACATCGGCAATTTCTTGTTTTTTACAATTTGATAAATTAATCTTGATAAATCTGTAAATCCCACTTCATGATTGTTTAAAGGAAGGAAAACAGACTTTTCTCTGTAATGCCTATAGAACAAGCTTTGTAAAGTACAAACAATACGTGCACACAATACCAACAGAGCTTCTTGTATGTTAAATCATGATTTGTTATGTTTTGTTTTGCTCTGAGCAAAAGCGTAGACGTGACAAAGTTGACTGTTTGAGTTCATACACAATCACAGCAAATATAATTTTTAAAATAGCACGAAAGCTTTGAAAATTCGTAATGTTACCTTAGGTGCTCACAACGTAGGTATTTATTTCGAAATACATAATATCTTGGATATTAAAATAAATTATGTAGAATACTAGCTTTCCGCCCGCGGCTTCGCCCGCGTGGAATTTTGTCTGTCACAGAAAAACTTTATCGCGCGCGTCTCTGTTTCAAAAACCGGGTAAAAAACTATCCTATGTTCTTTCCCGGGACTCAAACTATCTCTATGCCAAATTTCATCAAAATCGGTTGCGAGGTTTAAGCGGGAAAGCGTAACAGACAGACAGACAGACAGACAGACAGACAGAGTTACTTTCGCATTTATAATATTAGTTGGGATTAGTTGGGATTTACACGTGTCCAAATTGAAGTTTAGTTCGAGTTTAATTATTTTCTAAATTACTGGGTAGGAAATATGTGTGGAAATAAAACGTTTCATTATACATGCATGATATTTTATTACACTGTACAATAAATATTGGGCTGTATACAAAATATAGAGGAATTCCAAAAGATATTGTCGACACTCTAGCATACATAACATGAGTGTAAAATGACTCCTAACATATGTTAAAATTCGTAACGTATAACTAACTTTAACCGCGTTTTCGTGAGCTTTGGGCCTGGTTTGTTGTCTGATGGGGATGAGATGGTAATCATTTGATTGGATGCTTACGTATTAATAATTGCATCAGTTTCGATTAATGCGACGGACTCTTTCTATTCGTATAACAATTTAAATTCCTCTTAATACTGGCCAATAAATAAAAGTCCCGAAAACTTCGTGTAGGATAAGTTTGAAAGTGCTTAAAATATTTCACACAATCTTTTTACAAATTTTAATATTACCTATTCCTGTCCCCATCAAATAGCCAACCTGTTTATTTCTGAAAATATCCTCTACTTAGGCCTTGGTATCCTCGTAACATTCGATTCTTTGATATTAGGGATATTTCCTCTGATTTAAACGAACATTTAATTTTGTACCCTTAGCTTTATGCCTATAACATTATCCAGATCTTGTGAAGCATTCATTTATGTATACTGCATTGATTTATTTAATGATTTAGATTTTATCGAATCAAATAAAATGTTTTCAGCAACTAAATTCTTAATAAACTCTTAACATTCCCTCACAAACCTCATGTCGAATATTAGATACTTTACAAATTATTTACACAGATTAATCATCTTAAATAAACATCACATATAATATTCAATGAATGCTTCACGGTGCTCTGACCCTACACGATCGTATTGCCTCGACTTTGTCGTTACATTTTTGAGACCCATGTTCCAACATCACTGCCTTCCATTACACTAAGTTTTCCAACATTTCCTAATTTTGTCACACAATATTATTATGAAAAGATGAAATTCTGGAATCACCAGATGGCAAATTGAAGTCAGAAATATCAGGTTCTGAAATCTTTCATAGCTAGCTTTACTACAAAGCAAATATTTCGAAAATTTAACTACGAAGAGTAAATATTACATACATCCTATTTGGAACAATAGTAGATGTAACTAAAGTAAATAGGTACCATCTGGTAATTCTTACCTCACTCGCTCAATCGTTTACAACAGTTAATCAATAGTTTATGTCAACATGATCTTAACCCTTAGTGCCGTCCGCTGCTATGAGCGTGTGGCCAACCATTTCTCACAACATATTTCATTGCTCGCATAGTAATACTTTTCAGGCCAATATAACATCAAGATAATAGGAAAATTAACAAGCCAGTACAAGTACTCCAAATAGCTGCCCGATATAAGGTGCGAGCCAAATTGCACTTGTGATAATTCAAATTATTAAATAACAAATGATAAGGCATCGTAAATTCAATTGTTTTTGCTGGGTTAACCCGTTCATTATTAAATTCATAAGGCGATCAACATTTGTGTGTAATGTAAGAAACTCTGCATAATTCAAGCCATGTTAACCATTATAGCCTGACCAGGAACATAAAAACCCTCGCCATGTTGCGGAAAACTAATGGTACTAATTTCTTTTAATGGCAACAGTAACTGAAAACTTCATTGACATGTCACCTTGCATGTCAGTCTATTGTTGTCAAAGTGTAAACAAACTTTATTTTAAATGTGTGCAATTGATTTTGTGAATTAAATTGCTAAAATATTTTTATAGTCGTGAAAGAAAAGTGGTTCACAATGTGTTAATGTATTTGTCGAAGAGAAATACTAACGGTTCGGACAATATTTTCATTGAATAATGTTTCCGACAAAGGTTGTCAAATTGACTGACATGTTTATCGTATAGTACAGTCCACTATGAAAATTAGCTGTAGTCTGTTTCAACTACCTATTTTAAAGTTTTTTGTCACTTTCTAAGTTTTGAATTTTATGGAATTGGGAAAGAAGTACCGAGTTTGAAGCGTTCATGAGCAGACATTGCAGTTGAATATTCAAGTTCTGAATTTGATTATTGATGAATAATAAAATAAATCCTACTAGCTCGATTGATGGTTTCATTTAATTTATTTAAACCAGGTTACCTTTAATAATATTTTTTCGGTAATTTATGAAAATATCAAATTAGCCCGTAATCCTGAATCCTGATACATAAATTTAGCCTATTAATTTAACACATGTACGACTGTACTCAGTGTTGCACTATCAAATGCAATTGAGGCGCCTCTATGCCAGGGTTTTTATGTTCCTGGTCAGGCTATACAGTCGAAATATGCAGAACGTATGAGTGACTACCGTAATATCAAAAACATATCACTTATCAAAAACATAGTATAGTAATAGTAGGAATAGCAATATAAGACGAGAGAGATGGCGCTGTATAAACTAAAAGCTGTATGTGTGTGTATTATGTCTCTCTCTGCCGATCTACAAACTACCAAGATATACGTTTTGTGTACAGCACCGTAAAAAAACTGAGCATTTTATTTCAGAGACGAATAATTCATGACAATCTCTACTCAAAGTACCCCTAGACAACGTAGCGTCCGCTATCGACTTCAGTTCGAGAAAGTCGCACATCTACTGTATCTACCTAACGAAGCAATCACGAAGGGTAATCGACAGCAAATGTTTTGTCTACAGGCACTGAACTCTCGTGATGATAAGTGAACAATGACGATTTAGAGGGCACTGAACCGGTTAACTTCCTAAAATATTGTTTTACTATACATATTGCCAAATCATGAAATCATGACTGTATATACAGTGGTAGTCAAAAATACTGCTGACAATTTTCTGCATTTAGCAGTAGCCTCAAGCCCTTTAAACATAATGTTAGTATCATTATAGGATTTTAAATATTCAGTTAAAACACCTCAGGAATGCCTAGTAAAATTCGACCTTTGGTATCATAATGTTAGTTTCCATTACAGTGGTTATATTTCAGAAAAACTATTTAACATACTTGTCTTTGGAATGAAATGTAACGTGAAATATTGATTGTTTTTTTAACATATCTTTTTTCGTTTTACTTAGAGAATAAGTGAGATGATAGTATAATTTATAAGGTCAGGATATCTGTCATTAGAATACAATCAGACACAATTAAACTAGAACAGAGATACGATAGGCTTACTCCTCAATAGGCGTAAGTGGACATCAAAAAGTTTACTGGACATCTTTGTTGAATATACATAGGTACAAAACACAAAATATATGGTCCTGTACCCATTGCATTCTTTACAAACTTACTGAGGGGTGAGCTACCTGTACCTTTTGTGGTATAACCTAAAGGCAGATTTATTTAGAGTCAATAGCTGGCACCTGTCTCACTGGCGGATTACTGGCATATTACTTGCCAGGTCAGCGCCAAAGGCACTGGCCAGTGGCACCAGACATCCAGCTACCAGCTCCTTATAACACCTGCCTATACAAACAATTCCCAGTCAAAATCAACCATCTCTTAGAGATAATAGAAAATCGCAAAACTTCACTTACACATTTTAATTTATTGCTATAAACGAGTAAACCGTGCGTTTAGATATACGACAAACACCAAATAAACTTACACCCATACAACATAAAAAATGTATCAAATCAAGTCATCAAAATTAGTTGAACAAAAAATAAGATCAATATAGCTTTTCTAAATTTGAGAACAGTAATGTACTTATTGGTTACACTGAATAATCTAAAAAAATCAAAATTCAGGCTAATATAGGTACTAGTTGATCACAAAGTTCAATTTCGAAAAGTTGATGTTACCGAAGGAATGTAGGCATGCTCTTATATACTATATGCGATATTCATATGGCAAAATGATGGAGCAAACTATAAGTTGGTCAATATAAGTGTCAAATAAAATATTATCTTCTAGGGACTGTCCACTATAAAACATGTAAGAGTACTTCATATAAATTCGTTTTGTACTTCTTTAAGTGTACCTATCGGGTACATCTGGTAAAACGTTACGTGTAATATTAAGGCATCTTAATGTATTTTGTTAATAACTGCTAAATACAAAAGGAGCAGTTTAAAAACGGGTGATTGTGAACTCTCAAACGGGAGAATATTCTTGTGCTATAGCAGTTTGATAGTGGAATCACTCATATTAATAAGAGTAGTAAGGAAGTAATTAATCCAAGAGCAAGACCCTCGTTAGATCAGCGTGTGGAGAATGGACCCTGCGGTCTCGCGCCGGCGGCCAGATCGCGCGATGGCACTATTAAATGCATTCAGTGTTCCTGCGAGTCAAACCCATCCCTAGCGTACAGGCGACGTACCAACTACTTAACACCGAGTGATGTAAAATTAAGAGGTATATACACATAGCCTCGATAAACTGTTCATAAAAATTTACAGTGAATAAATAGATACTGCTCTATCTAAAACTCGTAAATAATTTTTTTAACGTCTAAGCTTTAAATAAATACACTTAGCTTATCGAAACTTATAACTAAATGAGTATAATTATTATGATCGAAATTATGCATTGCCGAAGAAAATAACCTTTTATCGGACGACCCGATTGAGAATTTGATAGTCGAATTCGATCAATCATTAACATAACCTTTGTGCCCTTTATTACAAATTATGTATGTATAATTGTACAAAAATGTATAATTAAAATATACAAGATAGAAGCTAGTGAGATTACACGTTTTTGCATTAAATTGTGCCAAGGGACGGAACATTTCGTAAGAGTAGAACACTGCAGAACGTATTGTAGAAAACTAAAACCGCATCGTATAAAAAGGTCGTTTGGTCCTCTTGGCCCATAGACAAAGGAACATTCGCTATTCAAATTGATCATTACCAAATGTATGGAGATGAGAAAATATGCCACATTTTTCGAATATTTATGGTTTCTCTAACTCAAGTAAGTCCTCCGAACGAAACGAAAGTATGTTTAGCGAAGTTGCTTTGCTTACGGAGACTCTTGGACCGGAACGACACAGTAAACCATTTCAATTTTGAGCGCGTCAATATGTCAGACTCGGATTCCTCAACAACATTTAACGTACATTCGTTGCTGTTTACAGCCAACACTTTACAAAAATTCGATCACAGAGCAAATCTAACTCATCTTCAAACCTATGTACACTTTTATTCCCCGGAGGGAGTATCAATAAGTCTTCTCTTTATAAAAAGAGCACTCGTGAGCTCCCCGAATATGTGGCACCCCGTTAGAGCAATTTATTTTACATCTAATTGATATATTAATTTATATAGCCAATCTACAGTTCAATCTCACCTCTAAGTTGGCACTGCAATACTATGACTCGATTAAGAGTTATTCTCAACTCCGCACCGCAAAGACAACGACGTCTTATTTCTGCGTTTTTGTCCGCACTTTTAAAAGTAACATAGACATTAGACGCAAAATAAGACAGAACGATGTCTAGCAGGCAACGAGTTGATAGGTGTGCGTAACCCCTAATAGGAATCAATCTCACCATAGCGGCGAAAAAAGTAATTTGAGTACCATTTTAGGCGTAAAATCTACTTCGTTTATCAATTTTTCTAAGACCAATAACTTTAAAGGTTATACAAATCGTCTAAACTAGTACAATAATGCAGCCTGTGGTTACACCTAGTCCCTTGTACGTAAATACGAGTACATGCGTAGATACATACGTAAATTCATCAAAAAGTGTTCAAAATACGTTTCAAGTGCAAAATCTATGTTTTTTGGTCATAAATACACTGATATACAAACTTTATCATTTCATTAGATAACTATACATGAGCCAAACATCTTTGGCGAATAAATATTCGTCGAATTACATACATATTTTACAACCGTGGCTAAAAAATAAAAATCACATATTTGTCTTTTGAACGCGTCCTCGCTGTCGCTGGATCGTGAGTGATAGCTAGAGTTCATCGCCAAGGTATCACGAGCTTGGGGGCGCGTGCGCTCCGGTCACTGCAGCATGAGAGACTCGAGGTTGCGGTTGAGGATGGTGTCTTTGACGGAGTTGAAGACTACCTCGATGTTGTGCGTGTCTATGGCAGTGGTGAAGTGGTGGTAGAGCGTTGTCTTTGGTTCCCGCCGGACGTTTGCGAACATGTTTAGCAGGAACATTTGCACGTCGCGGAGGGAGTGCGGGTCTCCGCTATAGTGGGGGTAGTACCAGCGAATGTCGGTCTCCTTGCTGGCCACCTTCTTCGCGAGCAGATCCGACTTGTTCAGGAAGAGGATTATGGAGATGCCCTTGAAGTTCACGTTGTTCACGATCGTGTCGAAGATGTTTAGCGCCTCTTCGAGACGATTCGTTTTTCTGTGAACAGAGAGAATAAATTTTGAAATGTCTTTATTCAAAAAGTACACACACAGACACAATAGTATAGATGACCCACGCTGAACTGTCCCACCAAACTCAATGACAGGGGGGCGCTACCATCGTTCAACTATATGGTTTCCAACATGGCAAAAATCGGAACCAGCGATCCGGTATTGACGGTGGCGCCCCACTGTCAATGTCATGCATAGGACAGGTCAGTATTTTGGAACTATATTCCGGCAGTTAGGGGGTAAGATAGCCAGTTCCTCCGTGGTTGATTCCGGGTGAAGCTCGCTTCCACCTTCGGCCTGATCGTCACTTACCGTCAAGTGAGATACAGGCCAAGAGCTTCGTTGTGGATAAAAAAAAAGTAAAAAGGCGACAATAGCCCAACAGTATCGACACCTGACTGCCTATTCGACATTCTATTTCGATCCCTCTAATTCGATTTTCGCTAGTTCGAGCCCTATCGATCACTGGATGGATTATTGCGGCCACTCCTAGCATATGTCTACCTTACTTGAAAGGGTTTAAACATAAACCATTTATACAAGCATTATTTAAGTGTCGAGCACAGGTTTGAACTGGTAAATCTAAACTACAGAACACTATGCTTGAATGTAATTTAAATATTTCTAATTATTCAACGAGGCATAGCAATAGCATCGTAGCTTACATAATAGTAATAACTAGTTGAAATCACGCGTTACAGCCATGGCGATAAAAGCCCTGCCCGAAACATGTGTAATAGATACCTTATCATTATTAGAATATTGTTTTGTAAGAGTAAATACGAATTATTGTAAATCTTATCATGCCATACGGATATTACACGAAGTTTACGTTAATCTAAGTTAAAGAATGTATTTGGGTACTTTGCTGAAACCGATATCATTAAATTATCAATAAGCCTCTTAGATAAAAATACGAAAAAGCTATCCAATTGCTAAACATTACACTGCCGTTCAATGTACCGTCAGTGCCATCTCGTAAACAGAATCGACAACTGCAAACGGATGCTAATAATAAATATTAGTACTCAATGGGACAGTTTTTAAAAGAAGCTTCAAAATTGGTTCACAAATAAACTTCTACAAAGAGAAGAATTTAAACGATCTTAAATTAATGCAATAACAAATACATAACGATGAGCTGTCTTTAGATGAAAGATGTAGTGCAATCTTATAAATCTAGGTGAATAATAAGACAGAATTATACCGGCCTCGCACTGCCGGTGGATGTACTTTTCTTAACTCACACCTGTTATCCGCTTTTAATGAGGGTTTTCGCGATTGAAAAATCCGCCAGATGGCAATACGTAGACGCGAGATCCAAATGCTGCATGATTGGTTATTTTTGACATGACATTGACAGATATGTCAAAATCCACCAATCACGCAGCATTTGGACCTCCCGTCTATGTATTGCCATCTGGCGGATTTTTCAATCGCGAAAACCCTCATTATAAATGCGCACGAATTTTTGTTGCATATATTCACATCTATTCTATACTATATTATATATTCTATACTAATATTATAAATGCGAAAGTAACTCTGTCTGTCTGTCTTGCTTTCACGCCTAAACCACTGAACCGATTTTGATGAAATTTGGCATAGAGATAGTTTAAGTCTCGGGAAAGGACATAGGATAGTTTTTATCCCGGTTTTTGAAACAGGGACGCGTCCGATAAAGTTTTTCTGTGACAGACAAAATTCCAAGCGGGCGAAGCCGCGGGCGGAAAGCTAGTTATGAAATATTTTAGTCTACCCAATATTCTAGCAATTTGGATCGACGACCGGCTTTCGTGTTTGACCCTAACGAGGAGTAATTTTAAATTTGTAGAGCAGTACACAAACAACTAATAAAATTGGAAACTAATTAGTAATCCACGATACAGCTAAGTATCTATTATTCCTTAATTAAAAAACCAATTACCCTTAATTGTAGCTAAACACTATCATGGGACACTTTTATTCGAACTATTATTTAGGTCACGTGACACAAGGGCCGATGACATCCAGCGTATAAAACTATAGTTATGGGTTGCTTCATTATATTTGTTGCAAAATAGCACTCTATCACAACTACATAAGAAGCTACATTTGATATGCCTGTACATATGTAGTTTATGCCCGGATCCACTATAATATGGTGGTGGACACGATGGAAATGCCCACAATCCTACTAGACCTGTGACGTCATAATGACGTGAAAATTCACGGTCTATCGAGGTGACAGGCTAATGACATTTATAAAAAATCTGGTGGTTGTAACGTGCTCATAAACTTTTTTGAGGCCTGGATCTTTCACTTTACCAGGCGTAGATCCAGTACAGTTATACTGTATAACGCACCAATACTGAAATGTCAAAGGTCTCTATATTTTCTCACAACAATACAATTTGAAGCGCCACTAACGTGAACTGGGCATTAAGGAAATTGTCCAATCGATTTCGTGATGGAGGCAAGATAATGTATTGTCTAAATTAGACCTAATCAATAAGTTGTTCGCAACTAAGAGCCAACTGTGAGCCTAATGCTTATTGAGTTTGACTGTCGACCCGAACGTAAGTAATTTTGTAATTTCCTAGATAAAGATAGGTCAAAGGTCAATTGTAGACTGAATGAGTATCTCACTGCGGAGATCACAAGCATATTAAATGGGTTGCTTAATCATATTCGTATAAACAAATAATCACTGTTAGCACCTTTTTAACACCGTTTTAGACCATCCGTAGATCCATTGAGACAAGTCCTCAAGGAATAATTAAATAGGTAAGATTTTTAGTTAGCCCGATTTGCTGTCGACTGAACGTCCATCATACGGAAGACATCAATAGACATTTGAATTATTAATAACTTCTGAGTTGTACCTTTTCGTAAAGTTTTTCTAACATAACGGTACAATTGCACGTCATAGTACCTATAGATGTCAATGGTATCAAGGTAACCGAGTAAAAACATTTTATTTTTAAGGAAACGCACTTTACACTTCTTGCTTTTCAAAAACATATTATCCATTCACAATAAAATGAATACGTCTGCGGTATTAACTTCGTAACAAAATCTTGGCACGAATATTAAATAAGGGTCGAGGCGAAAACAAGGCGCGACTTTGAGTGCCTCTAGTAGGAAAAACTTTCGAGTTCGTTTCGTTGCGTATTCAAAGTGTCATCGAAAAATTTTGTATGAAAAATTAAACAGCGCCCCCTATATTATAGCCGCCCTAGGGGGCGCTGTTTAATTTTTCATACAAAATTTTTCGATGACACTTTGAATACGCAACGAAACGAACTCGAAAGTTTTTCCTACTAGAGGTACTGAAACGAGCTGCGATGTTGAGTGACGTCACTTGAAAGGTTTCAATTACGCGCCACCTTTCTTGAATTTAACATTGCAGGGGAAAATATTGTGCAATTGTGAGGTTAAAACTTCTATGGATTCTGCAGTTGACATGTTATAAAAAAACATAATAGTTAATCGTAGTCGTGTAATATTTTTTATATTCAGACTATACAGTGTGAGTCACGTTAAAGTGTACATATGTGAATAGATGAAACTAGACCTATTTTTATCGACAAAAAAGTGGTCAAAATTTTTTTGAGATTTTTTTAAAATTTTTTATAGAATTTTTTTTCTTCCAATTACTTATTGTCAAGAAAACGTAATAACTTTTAAACTAAGCAGCATATCCTGATAAAATAAAAACAGTAATAATGCGAAATAACAGGCAATACTAAAAAAATACATACAATACACAAAAAATGCCAACAAATAATAAAAAATGACAATTTTTGAAAAAAAATCTGCTTAAAAATTCGTGTTTTTTTGTTATTTGATAAATTTCTCCGAAAAATGCCCCTATAACAGGTAGTTTTTATTGTTTTGTATTATTCTCTATTGTATTACCTTTGTAAAACCAAAAATTGCATGTCTCTATCCCTATCACAACATTTGCTATGATCGTTTGAACTAAGCCTCTCCGGGCGCGCCATTCAACGCTTCGTTAACAACGAAACTGAAAATGGCTCTAGATTTGTAATTTTGATAAAGACAAGTTAGATTTCAAGTAAAAACAAAAGATTTCGAAGTAAAATAAGCATTTTAGTTAAAATTAAAATTGTCCTTAACTGTAGAGGAGAATAATGTTGTGGTAGGCCTTTGTTCAAACTATCATAGCAAATGTTGTGATAGAGATAGAGACATGCAATTTTTGGTTTTACAAAGGTAATACGATAGAGAATAATACACAACAATAAAAACCACCTGTTATAGGGGCATTTTTTGGAGAAATTTATCAAATAACCAAAAAAACACGAATTTTTAAGCAGATTTTTTTCAAAAAGTATCATTTTTTATTACTTGTTGGCATTTTTTGTGTATTGTATGTATTTTTTTAGTATCGCCTGCTATTTAGCATTATTACTGTTTTTATTTTATCAGGATATACCGCTTAGTTTAAAAGTTATTACGTTTTCTTTACAATAAGTAATTGGAAGAAAAAAAATTCTATAAAAAAATAAAAAAATCTAAAAAAAATTTGACCTCTTTTTTGTCGATAAAAATTGGTCTAGTTTCATCTATTTTCATATGTACACTTTAACGTGACTCACACTGTATATATTTTTTAATACAAAATAGCACCCAATCACAACAACATAACATGGCACAGTGACTAGCTTGATGTGCCATTGTCTGTGCATTGACGAAATTTGCAGATGACAGCACCTCAGATTTTACATTTTTGTTGCAAAAAAGCCTCTATTACTAGAGTCATAAAGGCCACCGTGTTTGCCGTCAGTCGTCTGTACATAATTAAAAGCATACAAATATGTTTTTTTATTAATAAGAGTCCATGTTAGTACTCGTAGTACGGTCAAGAATCACATAGAGGTGAGTGGGGCAATGACCCGCTAATCGGCGGGAAGTGGCTCATTGAGAAAACTAACAAATTAAGACGCAAGCAGACACACAATATACGTAAAGTTGTTCATACACTTTACTATAGGTAGGAACGAGCATATTTAACTTTACGATGTAATTTACGGGACTGACAAATTCTCTAAATCACGTGCAAAGCTTTAATACATAATAAGGAAAACAATTATTTTAATAAACCTGTACAAAGGTGTTAATCATCCATATTTCCTCAGCTTACAACTTTGCCTATCGCAATAGGAACAAAAGGATATGCTTATTTGTTTAATTATGCATAAACTTATGAATCACCGTCGCCACTCAACGTAAACCTCATTCACAGCGCGTCACAACTAGAAATTCAAGCATTTACATAATCACTGTCATGGTCATAGAGCAGGTCAATACAGGCATTAATTATTCACTACGACGGCACATTTTCCTAGTAACCTACCACACAACAACACTACAAGTAGATCTCCTAAATATTTGATAAGCAAAGGAGACAATATTGAGCTAGAACATCGACACATTTACTATAAACTAATAATACGAAAAATAAGTATTAATCGCTGTTCTAAATCATTTTCGGATTCTTTCACGCGTGGTATAACAGAGATTGTAAATAGAATAGAAATTCGTAATAATAACGATGAATCAATTGCAAGTTTCATGAACAAAATTGATTTTAATTAAGTGTGAAACGTGTTAATGCCTCTCTCGCATGTCAACGCAGGAAGACGACCAATTTCTCAGAGGCAAATGAAGGATTTAGCCTACACTCCCCATGCTAGCCTAGACGGGTTGGGGAGACCTAATATTCGTATCCCCATGGACGGAAAGCAAATAAAAGGTGTATTTTCGTATTAACTATTTCAAGTAATTAATCCACGATAGCCGAACGGTGAAGGGATCGGACTGGCCGACTCGTCATCCGAGGATCGCGGGTTTAACCGATTGAGTCCCAGACGGCATTAATTAATGTCATAACAATTGATTATCTATTGTGTCTAGATTCGCGGAGCTTGAAGGATTAAACCCCGCTAACGCTATTGTGGTGAGCCCAATCGTGACACAAGCATTTTAATTTAGTATGAGGTGCTAACGGGACTATTAGTAATTTGTGCAAAACCAAATCACTATTGTTTAAAAAAAAATGCTCAATTGCTCACCTGTCTTCAGACAACACCTGGTCGAACTCTGACGAGGATACAAGGAAGAGTATCGACGTGACCGAGTCGAAGCACTGCGTCCACTTCTGCCGCTGTGTCCTCTGGCCTCCCACGTCCACAAACACGAAGGGGACGTTGTTGATGTTGATGGTGCACTCCGTGATGCCTTTGGTGGCTTTCCGACAGTGCAGGATGTCTTGGTGGGACGGCACGTAGTCGGGCCTGGCTATGCGCTCCAGCTCGTCGAAGAAGTAACTTACTGAGTCGCTCTGGAAAGTGGAGATGTTTTAGGGTTTAATTTCGTTGAGACATAAGTAAAGAACTATAATTTAGTCCTATGGTTGGTGTAACTGATTAGTGTAGAGGTTTCCTTCAAGCACCTAACAAGCTTCGCGAAGAACAGTATACTAGTCCGAACGCGGCAAGCCAGATACATAAGGTGTCATAAAATGTGACACAAAGAGGACATCACACAATAGCAGAATAAAATAAAAGATTTTTTTGCCCGTTAGTTTACTTAGTTTACGTGGTTGAACTTGAACTTTGTCACTATAAGAAATGAGACATTGTTTCGATTCGAGTGTAGTCTTAAAGGATTAGCAGTTACTAATTTGGCTTGGCAGCATCGATCTACCTATCAAATGATCACGTTTACAACCGTTCAATTCACCTCAAACAACATAGAAGACAACATTGTGGACATTGTATGTCACTTATTAATAAATATTTGTATCTTATTAATAAAATTAGTAACATTATCAATAACTTTTTTTTAGTTCAGCTTGATATTTGGAAAACAAGGTAAAGGCGTTGTTGATAAGTTTGGAAAACTGTCTGGGATTTTGGAGAAAAGTTTACTGTGACGAGAAACAGGCAAGCAGGAGAATCATGAATGACTAATCGGACTGGGGCGTAAATAACATGCTCGATTTATTTCTGCAGGAAAGAATAACTCGGTGGACTTTGTATGACCCCCAATAGACATGCATTCAGTTTTTCATCGTAAAATTAACTCCGAACCGAATGTACATGTTTTTATAATCTTTCTTTAAACCTCTAGCTAGATATTTTTAATGAAATCTCAAGCGGTGTAGTAAATTTCCACGAACGCAAGTGTATAACGAATGTTTACTGCATATTTATAGACTAGCGTAGACGTCGAAACGTTTTATGAATGAAAAAATATACTGCATTGTGGAAGGAAGTGCGGTAAAGAATCTAGGGCAATGCGATACTAAGCCGCGGCATCAGGCACTAATTGACATTCTGACGGAAGGCCTTCTATCTTCAGAATAGAGCAAGTAACCTAGAATTGTCCATCGATTTCATTACATTTTTACTCTTATACTCTCTAATGGCCTCAAATAAAGAGCTTGTCCCAGAAGGGCCCATAATAATAATAGCAAATTACTAAATCATCATTAATTTAAATCCAAACACTTAGTCATTAAAATACCGAACAATAATACCTCGAATGCGTAAGCGCTTTACGATAATGGTAATCCTGTATTAAAAGTAATAAGTTGATGTAGGTGTGTAATTGACTATTTAATTGCAAATCATATAGACTTTGTAAAGTACTACTACTTTGTTATTGATGGGAAATAAATATGTATAATATTGTTGTTTTCTAATAAACTTGATAGACTCTCCCTTTCGAGAGATCATAGTTTTTAATCTAACAAGCTATTAGGTTAATTACGAACAGGTAAAAATGCTAAAAATGAGTATGGTATGTGTAAACTTTAACTCATTACTGCTACTTCAAATAGCTATTAAGTAATTTGTGTCATTACGATTCACTGGAGACAGATTCAGACATAGCAAACATTGCGAAATATGCATCGAGTAGCGAGAACCGCCTTCAAAAATAAATGCACAGAAGATAGCAAGTAAAATAATGGCATATAAAAGATTTCATTTATCATTTTAAAACTGCAAACAAAATGCCGTATGAAGACTGCATTAATTAACACACATTCCTGTGAGATAAGAACCAAAGGAATCTATTGAACGAACGAGTTGCATATTACGGTATGGCCGATGACTGTGAACAAAGGCTTTTATAGCCACCACTCCACGGCAACGAGGACTGGCATTCTGAATCGATAAATACCGATCTCTAGGAAAATATATTCTTATTGCACTGCATTTATTATGGACTGATGTTAGTTTCGTGGCAGATTGTCGCTCTACTATTTATCTCCATTGGATTCTGTACTTCTGTCGATACAGCTAATACGCCTAAAACACCCCATAAAAGGGTTACTAAGTAAAAACTAACAAGATTGAAGAATGAATAGAGATAGAAAGTTACTATTTTACTGCATTGCATATTGCCGAAAAATATCCTAATAAAAACTAAAACATTTTTGGATATGAGATATTCATTCAATCAACAAAGCAGTTACAACGAAATCAAAAGCTGATTCATTTATTAGTAACCTATTTATTTTTGGAATATTGATTCCTATCATATTAACAAGTAAATCCTATCGTTAGTAGATTCTTCTAGGAACGAGTTCCCTGAAAAGTAAAACATGGCTCGATTCTTAAAATTGACACGGTTCACGGCCATAAAAAACGCGCCAAAATATTCGTAAATATTAGTTTTCCTGCGCACACGCAGTAAATTAGGTGTCGGGGTCACTGATCGACACATTTACTGGTGCGAAGGTGAGTGCATACGATCCGAGCCAGAACTGTATGACGTATAAGAAGAGGACACGCGACACGAGTGGGTTTAATCCTTTATTTGAAGAAAGGGTTTCGAGACAAACAAGCGAGACGTGCGTGAGCGATCTTCGGCCATTCGACCATGTGATCCCAAACGATTAGGCGTTAAGGTGACCCGCGAATGAAACGAGCAGAAAACGAAAACACTCAATTATTTAATCTAAAAAGTTGGAAAAACGCAATTTCGAGTGCGGTTCTGTAATTTAGATAATGTTGTGCAAGATAATGTTTTACAGACAGAGAAGGAAAGAATTTGAGAGAACCTACACGTTGAATAGCTCCCAAAAATTATTATTTATTGTAAAGGTCAAACTGCATTTGGTAATGGCAAAAGCCTTATTAACTAACAGCTTTTGTCATCTTCGTTTTCCATATTTGCATTGAGGAACACGACGAAAATGAAGATAAAACAGAAAACAATAACAATGCTACAACTAAGAGTAACTAAGAGTCACAATAACATATGCAAGCACTTGTCAAATTGTTTTATCAGCAATTCGGAACCACCAAGCATTGTTCACGGGTTCTTCATTTTAAATTTCTTTTAATAACCTCCACCATTTTAAAATAATTATTTTAGGGACTCAAAACCCATCGCAGTGAGTGATTAGCGGCTAAATTACTAATTTTAACTTCGCTAGCAACACTTTATGAGTCGACCTAATTACCGCGCGATGCGGACTCGTTTGGGAACTATTAAAGTTCCACTTATTGCGATTATCTAATGTAAACAAGTACAATGACGTCAAAATTTTTAAAGGGTATAACGAGACTAGCATCGGTTCATTCAAGAATCCTACTAAAGGAGCTATGTTGTGAGAGTAAGAAAGTCTCAGTAAATTCTTTGAATTCCTCAAATTGTTCGTTACATTTTTAACGCGCAAAATCCAGTGGAATCATGAACTAACCTTCATCATCGTTTTACCTTGACCAGTCAATCCGAACCATAATGATTCCCTTTTCGTAAATCTGGAGCAATTTGCATCTTATTAGGACCTGTGTTATAAAGAACGATAATTGCAACCTTCAGAGGCACGGCAAGGGTTTACGAAAAGTTTAACCCCATACAAAAGTACCTACATTGCGTAGTAGATAACCAGTAATTAGTATTACCAATAAAGCAATGTAACCATTATCAGGAGGATTGTGAAAATACTGTGATATCGAAATGGCATTCATGACTCATTGATGAAAATACGCCTTCAACTGCAGGTTGCAATGACCAGCGTTGCCAGACGTCCCGATTTTTAAATCAAATTTAAATGTCCCGCGCGGGACAGGCTCGCTCCCGCTTTTCCGAGAGAGACACTCACTTCATCAGACTATTGTTTGAAACGCCATATTATTCTAAAGTATAAAACTTTTAAAAAAAAATCTTTTTTTATTCTAAAGACGAATTTAACGATAGAGTAAATCTGATTTAAAATATTATTTTTTTTGTTAAAATACATTTTCTATGGCTACTTTTGCTATCTATTGTCAGGTAAACGTAATTTTAAGTCAAATAAAAAGATAAATACATGAAAACCTTTGATTATATAGGTTTTTTTACTATGTCCCGCTTTTGACGGAAGAATCCCGCTATTTTCACTCAAAAAGTACCAAAGTTCCGACTTGGCGAAAAAAAAAACTGGCAACGCTGAATGACACCTCACTGCAGTTTGTGCATTGTTCTGCGGTTAAGTAATTAATGAACTGGCATGAGAGTTAAAACACTTTGGCCCTATAGATGTGTGCCTAGTACAAATGACGTTGTCAGCGGTAATTGCAGAAAGTGCAGTGAAGGTGGTAAAGTAGCTTCACTCGAGTTATTACTAGGACTTGCCTAGTAATAATGAAAAAATTAGGAATCTTCTCACAGAAAACGTGCATAACGAATAATACAACGATTTTCCTGGTATACGGAAAAAAACACGAATTCTACGCATTTGAACAGACGTGCAATAAAAGATGAAGGTACATATTTTTTAAGAAGGACGATGGTATCGTTTGGTTGATCGTAGTTAAATGGTGCCAACCGATTTAGATTGTGTAAAGAAATACCTAGAATCCTAAGAACGGAATCAAAGTAACAATTTCGTTTACGAAATCTAGTCGCTGATACAGGGTTACCAAGTATTTAAATTGAATTAAAACCTTTTTTATAATTGTTTACTAGCCAGCCTGTATATTATTTAGTATAGGGTTGTCGTTAATGTTACACGAAGGTACTCATTCGCATGCGCCTGCGCCTGTCGTTAGTCAGCTTGTTATCATCATCATCAGGTTCATTTAGTTTCCACTACAGAAGAACAACTCTCCTCTCAGACAGGAGAGTTCTTCTTCTGTAGTGGAAACCGTACCTCCATCCAATCCTGCATTTTACCACAGGGTTATAGAGGATTTGGTCTACGCTAGTCAAATTGGGTAGGCCTGTTGTTAGTCGCCTCTTACGACATCCACGGAAAAAGCGGGGGAGGCTCTTTACTATTCTTCCAGCACTAAGCTAAGTATGCCTTAAGCTAGAGTCTGCTCAGTTCCTGACAACCCTAGAGAAGATACCGTCCTCACATGTGCGGAGGCTTGAGCATGACGCATGACGCAACCGGCCAGTGACTAATCAAATGAGATAAGGAATGCAATTACAATTATTTTATTTATGCCAGCGACGTTTCCAAAGAAACACTGTGGAAATCTAATTGCGCTATTTTAAACAGTTCAACCGATAGTGTCGATATGAATGTTTTTCAAAACAAGTGATTGTTGCTATCAGAAAACTCATCAGTAGCATTCATATTTTGATACTACAATAAACTTGGCGTATGCTTCATAGCTACGTATTGTACTTAAAGAGCAGAAAATCAAATTAGATGAAAAACGAGGATTTTCGTAACAAATAAACTTTAATTTGGTCTAAGATAGATTGGACCTTGGATAGGTTTATCTTTCGCCAAAAAACTTGAAAAGCTTCAAATAAAAGGGAAGCTTATAGTACATTTTTTTACATTTAGTCATATCATAAGATTCATAGGGGATATATCTTTGTACCAGGATCGCGAGACGCGTGATAAACACTTTTTAGAAGAGCGAATACTACGTGGACGAAAAAACTGCATGTAAAAGCAATTAAAGTAAATAAAAAAATAACATGCTGATTCAACAAGCAACAACTATAAGGATGTTAAAATATAAAAACAAGATACCTATACTGCTAGGATTAGATCACAGCGAGTTAAAAAAAAACATGACCAAAAAACCTTAGGTAGGTATTTTTGTTCAAAACACAGTCAATGCCAAAAGTTAATAAGCATCTCAAGAAGGCAGTAATGCATAATAAAGACATAGGTAGGAGGTAAAATTTTATCTACAGATAAGTTTTATAATAATCAAGGTTTTACCATAATTGGGACCATTATGGCATGCTTTAATAGGTTCAATAAATACATTTTATGCTTGTTGTATATCCTACTAATCCTACTAATATTATAAATGCGAAAGTTTGGATGTCTGGATGTTTGTTACTCTTTCACATGAAAACTACTGAATGTATTTTGATGAAACTTTACAGTGTTATTGTTTATAATAACCCAGAATAACATATAGGCTATAATTTATGACGATCTGTGACAAACAAAATTTCACGCGGGTGAAGCAGCGGGCAAAAGCTAGTAGGTTCAATAAATACATTATGTGCTTGTGATATAAAAAATAAATGTTACACTATTGTTATGACTGTAAATATTAACTATGTAACACTGAATTAAAAAAGAGGAAGTAAGGATTACTACTCAAATTCTGGGGAGAAACTAGCAGCCACTTATAACAAAATATGGACAAGCTAGAAAAATAAAATGGCAGTGAATGAAACCATAGATAAATAGAAAAACATTTGTTTTCTTACTAATTAGAAATATAACTGTAACATTAAGTAGGTAGATGGATTTTTGTAATCCTTTTATAAGCAATAACTATTTAATAAAAAAATCTTATTAGATAGCGTACATTATTATTAGAGATGAAACGGATATCCGGCAACTATCCGGTAGGCCGGATATCCGGCCTAAATTTACTATGCGGCCGGATACCGGATAGTAACTCACTATCCGGCCGGATACCGGATATTAAAAAACTAGGACAATTTCCTATTAATAAAATGAAATACATTAATCTTTGAGGTAAATATAAATAAAATGGGTATCCTTCCGTTTGGCCAAATTACTTTTCGCCAAATTTCACTTCGCAAACAACTTATCGCCAAAGTTTCATTTCCCAAATGAACTTTTAGCAACTGCTCTTTTCGCAACTAATTCATTTGGTCAAATAATCATTTGGCCAAATTTTACTTGGCAAATGTTTATATAATAGCAAATGTTTTATTGGGCCAAATATTATATTCCAAATAATTTGTTTCGTCAAATTGACACTTCAGATACTTACCGACCGTTACCCACAAATCAAAGCATAGGCACATCATGGTTTTCACAAGAATTGTACGTAAAACAAAGAGATTGCAGAAAACAGTATGGTTGCAGAAAGTAGGTATTGCAGAAAATAGTAGGTTAGGTTAGGTTAGAACAGTGACCATTAACGCGCGAAGGCGAGCGAAGCGTGCCGCGGCAGCGGCCGCCGAGCGCTAGAATCACCTTTATTGTTGATGAATCATTTGAAAATTTCGATAAAAAGAATGAAATATGAAAATTAGTATAGAAAAGAAATTATATTAACTACCCACGAAACAAAATAATAACCACAAGCTTATTTGTATTCCATTCTATGCATCAATCAAATTATTTTGTAAATTGTTTATCGTGAAATATTTTTGCCAAATGAAATATTTGGCAAAACATACCTTGCCAAACAATAATTTACTAAACAATAATATGCCAAAAACGACATTTGCGAATTAAACATTTTCAATAAGTAGTTTTGCCAAATGAAAATTTGCCAAATGAAAGTTTGCGAAACGTTGTTTGCGATGTGATAATTTGGGAAACGTTTTTTGGCCAAACATTAGTAATCCAATAAAATGGCTTATAATAATGGCGGCTTTTATTTAAAGTCCAAAAAGTTACAAAAAAGCCATATTAAGACCTTTCAAAAAATTAATTTCTTTTTCTGGGCTTATTCACTCTAATGACGAATACATAAATAGTAAATATCTGTTAAGTCGAAATATTCCCAAATAAAATAGGTGATCTTTTTTTTACTGATGGTCTGATGTCATGCATGATGCAGTTCAGTCAGATTAGGCAGCAAGTAAACTAATTTAATTTTCGCTATTCAATCACACAGTCACGATGGCAACCGAAATCCCTCGAATTGATCTGCCCCCTAGACAAGTGGCAAAATCTGACATTCTATTCGGACTGATTCGATTTTCGAAAAGTGTGACTAGTCTAGTTTACTAATAGACCCACTGATCGCGTTCGAAGCACTTGTGCGGCGCTAAACTCGTCACGACATGCAACGAGACAATGGGCCAACTATCCGGCCGCCGGATATCCGGCTATCCGGCCTAGCAACTGGCCGGATATCCGGTATCCGGTATCCGGCCAAACAACTATCCGTTTCATCTCTAATTATTATATCGAAATAATATAATATTGTATTATTGCCAATAGTAAAAATAATAAAAACAATTTATAAAGAAATTGTCTAGTTTATGAACTCTACCAACGGTGTCACAGGTGTCCGACAAAGCCGGGCAAACAACCAATACAGATTTAATTACAATAAATGTAACTATGCTTAGCAGGTGACGAGGAAAACATCCTACATAAAATACTATAATGCATGCATAAAACTGCATTGTCATTTGTACTGATGCACCGACCATCAAAGGAACAATACAAAGGAATGAAAGTTTTATTATATTTGTGGTCTATTGTGGGACTGATGAAATATTTAATATTATGTTGGAATTACCTAATGATTAAGTGAGCAAAACACATAATTAAGCACTACTAGTATTTTTATAGAGGTACCTTTGCTGTTTGTTTTTCAATACAGTGTAAAGAAACCAAACAAGAATTAATAAATTTATACAATAGTTTCTCTAAAGAATAATATGCTGATGTAACAATCAATAGTAACAAAAAATATTTGGTATTAACTCAATTCCAATACATCAACAAGAACTACTCACTATTATCATCACTGTATGTACCTACAAAGAGTTTATAACAAAACTAAACATGCACCATTGTAAACAACATGGTTTTCTCACTTGAACAATAAAATTGTATGTTCCTGCTACATGAATAACTAGTAAATAAAGTCTAATTGCATGATGACTAAAATGTACAACATGGAAAAGTACATTTGCCATGTAACTAGAAAGTCAGAGTGGAAACTTCGAACCTTGTTTACACAGTAAATATTGGTTGTCATTTGTTACTCACCAATTGAAATTCTCTCCGCCTGTCGTAGGCTCTTTTTATGGCCCTGTCGAGCCACAGGGAGTGGATGTGCGGCGCGTAGTGCATGAACAGGCGGCTGTCGAGCGACGCCGTGCTGTTGAAGTGCAGCGCCTGCTGACCCACGTCCAGGTTCCGTGGGTTCTCCCATGGGATCGCGAGCTTGTCCCGCGCGTCCACCAGCACCTGAATACCCTTCACAATGTTCTGGTATATCACGTGCTGGTACTCCCGCACCAGTTCCGGCTCAAACTTCACTTTATGTATTATCCTCATCTGTTTCAGGAATGTTGATTTTCCGCTTTCACCCGCACCGAGCAGTAACAACTTCACTTGTCGCCGCAGCGTTTGTTTGTCCTTCTCCAATATTCTATCGATCTCTTTGCTTCTGTACCTCTGCTCTATCTCCTCCGGTGACAGCTTCAGGCGCAGCCAGCAAGTCAGAGCCTCGGTACAACAGGTACATGACCACAAATCGTTGGCCATTTTGCATGATTATCTACGCCCATAGAAAAGAAAGAAACTGAACTCGTATAGCACTAATGATTATATAGATTGACATAGCACATTTTCGCAATAAAACTTAGTATGCACTGATAAATTACACTATTTTTATTAAGATTAATGTCCCACAAATCGGAATTATGAAATAGATACACACGCATTCCACCCCTCCCAAAACTCAAAAATGAGAACGCACAGATTAGAAAATGTATTATGAAAACCAAAGAGATGAAAACCTTGATAGATTAAAATATATACTGGCAACACAGACAATAGCTTGGAGGAGTTTCCATGGAGTCTCCATATTTTGTTATGCTGTTTGTTTAATGCTCATGTCATAATATACAGGGTGTTTGGCGCATCGTGTGCCAAAATGATTTGGCGGATAGAATGGGTCATTTCCTACATTTTCAGCCCCCATAACACGTTCCATGCCAGGTGGCTACTTTTATATTAATTTTTTTAGTAATTTCACCAAAATACCCAAATCGCATCATTTAATTTCGATTTTAAAAAAAACCACTAGACGTAGCCTCAAAGTAAATATTTTGTTTTGACGTGCATTGATGTAGGGTTGCATCAAATCTAAATTTACTGGCAAATATCATCTAGTTTTTTTTTTAATTCAGCTTTGAAGTTTTCCGAAAAGTTAAAAATGGACTGAATATTTAAGTTTACATGGCTATAATTTTTTTTTAAAAGAGATAGTGATCTTCGGATTTTATCAAAACTTCTCTAGTCTATCCCCATTCAAACGGTATACTAATCTAGTTTAAATAATAACAACAACTTCACAAATTCCTTAAATTAGTGCATTGACTCTACTCGGACTGATTTGCGAAATTTGTGTTTATAGCCCCTTTTTGTGTGAATAGCACGTTAAATACCTACAGGTAAAAATTATTTATCTTATGCAATGTAAAAACCTTTTCCCTATCGTTTTTCAATGTGGATTTCTTGAAATTAAAGACGAAAATAACTATTTTTATCGTTTATTAATTATTACAAATTTTGTTCAAAATGTCCGCTTAGGCAACGTATACACTCACGACATCTTCTTCTAATTTCGACGGTTGTCGTATGCAGGCTTATTTCTCTTTTTTTATTACTACAAAGGCGTTTTCTATTCGTGGATTGGAAGAGATGGCCCTATGCCACTGTATATGCCTGCACGTTCCCCAGACCTAGCTCCGTTAGATTTTTACGTCTGGGGACGAGCTAAAGAACTGGTGTACTTAATGGAAGTTCAAACAATAGAAGAACTACAACAACGAATAGAAAACGCCTTTGTAGTAATAAAAAAAGAGAAATGAGCCTGCATACGACAACAGTCGAAATTAGAATAAAATGTCGTGAGTGTATACGTTGCCTAAGCAGATATTTTGAAAAAAAAATTGTAATAATAAACGATCAAAAAAATTTTTTTCGTCTTTAATTTCAAGAAATCCACATTGAAAAACGATAGGGAAAAGGTTTTTACATTGCATAAGATAAATAATTTTTACCTGTAGGTATTTAACGTGCTATTCACACAAAAAGGGGCTATAAACACAAATTTCGCAAATAAGTCCGAGTAGAGTCAATGTGNAACAATAATAATTATGAGTTAAAAGTACCTATCGGCCAATGTGGTTTGGCTAAATGAAATTTTAGGCGTACCGAGGGGCACCCGATCACGCGACCGCGCTTGAGCCGCTTAATTTTATACATTTCCTAATACAATATTGGAATTCTATAAAATTCCTAGGAAAAGTATACATTTCCTAGGATATGTGCGTATTAAAAAATCTCTGAAGCAATATTTTATACATTTCCTAAATAGCTTCGGAATTGTATACATTTCCTAGGAATAGTATACAATTCCTAGAATTCATACATTTCCTGTAACATATATATAGATTCCTATGCCTATGCACATACACACACAACACAACATAATTAATTTTTATTCAACTAATATTGAAATTAATTTGTTGAAACAATCTTGACCTAATAAATCACAAAACCTTAAATAATATTTTTTAATACACCATATTGTGAGATTTTATCTACCAAAGTTTATTTTCAATCCATCCATCACAAAATATTATTCATAACCTACTGCACCTGTCAGCATTAGAACAAATTAGTTTTAAAATATGTGTTTATTTATGAAATGAGATTAATATAAAAATATACACTGATTTGTTGCAAAACTGGTAGCATATTATTTTGACAAATCATGGTCATACATTAATGAACACTTAGATGGTATTTAGGGAGACGTTAAGACCACAAAGTTTCTTATAAACTAAGAATATATTAATACTGAATAAANCAGAGTACGTAATAGTACACGAACGAAACGTCATCCATCAGCAGGTAAAACGTCATAAATTTTTGCGCGATGTGAATAGTTGAAACGCACGTGTTATATTTTCTAAAATTGTCTTTATTTACTATTAAATAAGTAACTTGATAAACAAAAAACGTTTTAGAATTTTAATCCATCAAGTGCTGAAACTTTAAACACTTCAACAATGTAAATATTATATTGTGCAATGTCTAAAGAAGGTTATAGTGGTGAAAGAAAAGAAGGTGATAATAAAGTGGTATTAGAAAGATTGCAGTCGTATCTGAAAGATAAAAGAAGTACGGAAAGTGTGGAGCCTTCGCTGAGTTACAGTAAACCAAGTACGAGCTTTGATCAAAGTGTAAACGTTCCCGCTTTCGAAGACAGTAGCAACATACTGCGCGAAGTGCTGAACCACAAGAAAGCTCAGTTGCTGAGACAGCCGGAAATAGTGGAGTACCTAAAATCAGTGTCATCCGATCTTAAGAAGTAGAATTTACTATCTACAATGGCAGTGGCAGCACAAAAGTCCGTTTCGACTCTGATGCGTAAAACCCTGCAGCGGCAGGCAGCTGTAGCCAGAGAAAAATTTAAATTCAATAAAAATCAAGTAGAGCAAATCTTGCTAGCCTATGTGAGAGAGAAAAAAACTGGGCCATACAATGATTTGCTAAAAGTTCTGAAGGACATTCCTTTGAACGACGAAAACTATCAGATTCTCTTTGAAGATAGTCTGTCTTGTGTGGTTCTGTTAGGACGTGACTTCAAACAGTATGTGGAACTTGTGTGTAGTGTTGAGTTTGCCGGCCGGAGGGAGGATCTCGTGGAACTGTTCAGTAGATTTGTACTGAGCTTGGTTACTGCGCACACATACCATTGTGCGAGTGTGATGACCTGTCTTATTAAGTTGTTCAAAGGTAAGTTGCTATGACTAGTTTATCTATCATGAACTTTGCATCATATATCCTAGAACTAGCTAATTCTCTTTTAACCTTTCAGCTGAAGGTGAAAACTGGGAAGACAGTCCACCGCCAGAAACAGTGATGAAATGGTCAAATATCCACACAGTTATTGCACAAATTGTAGCCATCATGCCTATGTAAGTACTTTCTTTACCTTGTTTATTTCTTTTTTGGAAAAAAAAAAACAGTGGGTCTGATTAAAGTTCAGTCAACTGAGTGACTCTCAGAAAAAACCATGAATCCCAACAATATTGATTGTATGATCAACAGTAGTCATGAAAATGACCATTACATATTGCAAAAAGTTATGAAATCTTATTTATGTTACTAAAATATATTGTGCAAGAGTATTGTTGTGAAATAAGTATCTTAAATTTTTTCTGATTTCTTATGTCAGAAAAAAAAAGATACATTATAACAATAAATAATGCACAGTCATACTTATATTACCATTTCGTAAAATGGTGGCATTTTATTCAGAAATCAAACAACTTTTAGATTTCAGATGTCACTATCACAAACAATATTTGAATGATAAAGATCATGTTTTCAGTGATAAGTGACTGGAATTCTGTGCTATCTCCACATTCTAGGAGTTGGTGAAAATCTTCAGGGGACACTAAAGAGTAGAGAAAAGACCACAATGAGAGGTTCTACCAAATATGGCCCTTCAGAAGCTTTGATGATTGTTGTCTATGACCACTTAATCATTAAAGGCTTCTATAGATAAACCATAGAAATGGGTAAGAAAAGTAGCCACATACTTTAAAATTAATAGAAGAATCTACAGAAAAATAAAACTGTACTTTAAAAAATATAGATCATAAGATAAAAAAAAGTCATTAAAAACTGGCAGAATGAACGAATCCTGTACAATTGATGCATAACAGATACATCTGTTATCTAAAAGGATTCCAAACAAACTATTGACTGAATGAATGATTCACCAAGTCACAGGCGCGGATCCAGCCCTCAAAAAAGGTTGTGGGCAAAACCACCAAAAATTTGCAAAGTGAGAGTTGGATCACTACATGCCCGGACATACATACATGCCTATCGATCTTATCAATAGATCATAATTAAAACAAGCAAATTAGGGTTGTGGGCATGCCCACAGTGCCCACAACGGTGGATCCGCGCCTGCCAAGTCAAGTCAGATTCCGTCAATTACCTAAGATATTACCATCTTAGTTCTGGAATCAAATTCATGTGACTTTTCATTCCATTGGAGTAGTTTGCTTTTGCACTCTCCATTTCACTTTGAAACTGTCAATGAATGAATAAGCTAGTATAAAACACAAGAAATATTTTCATTTTAATATTTACTAATAAATTAATCCAAATAATTTCAGGTCCAGTGATCTCCTAATGCAAACAGTGATAGATGGGTTTCCGTATTACAAAGCAGGCTGCTATATCAATAGGTCTTACATACACAATCTAATATGGATGAGCAAATACATACCACTACTTCAGGAACAAATTGTGACGACCATAGTTAGCAGGTAAAGCTTGAACTTATATCATATTTTAGTCTGCTTTTAATTAAAAACAATAAAAGGCTTTTATTGTATAAACAGACATTTAAATGCATTATAAGCATAAATTGTTGCATTCTAAAAATCATAATTTACCTTACCTATTTTTATCATAATTTAAATATTTGACACAATTTATTTCTTACAGATTAGTAATAATGGATGTAAATTTAGTAGACCGATCAAAGAATAGAGTACCGGCTGAGACACTGTTTGAAATGGACACGGACGAGCAAGACGTTCTTACAGACTCATTGGACTACTGCATGTTGGAAATGTTGAAATGGCTCGAAGAGGAAAGAGATCCTGCACTGAACATCTTGTGCAATGTTTTCGAAAGAGTTGTTCTTCCAACCTATGGTATAAAGTAAGTATTATGTTTCTATCTTAGGGTTATTTTGTAATTGTAGCATTCAATAAGTGACTGGCAGTATTACGTACATTTTACTAGATGAGATTAGTTTCCAAATCAAAATTATGAATGATGACGTCATCAATTTACAAGTCACTAACAAAAAGACAGTAACAAGTGCTAATTTGATTAGATAACTTATTAATTGAAAAATAGCGTCAACTTAATTTTACCCTGTTTTCAGATACGTCCAATTCCTGCTGCTATACACGATATCGATCAACCAGCAATGCGCCGACCGTATACTGAACAACTTGTGGATAGTGGCGGCAGGTCTTCACGGGTTGGGACCCGGTGCCTTAGCGACCCGGCGGACAGCTGCCAGCCATCTGGCTGGTTTACTAGCGCGCTGCGTCAGGGTTCCTAACTCCAGACTGATTCACTACCTAAGAAACATGGCGGAATGGTGCCACTCGTATATTACGGCGACGCAGGAATCGACAGCGGCGTGTGATAACACCAAAGTGCACGGCTCCTTCCATGCTGTGTGCCACGCCATCTTTTATCTGGTCGCGTTCAAAAACCATCACCTGTTCATGAACAAAGAAAGTAAGTACATCATTCAGTTATCAAAGTTGATGTCATTATAAGGCGGTTATCACACTGCGCCGCGCTCCGCCGCGGAGCGCGTGATTTTCATATAAAAACACGCGCGCGGACGCGTTGTCACTTCACAAAGTGCCGCGCGTGTTTTCTATACAAACTGAGGTACTTGCATACAATGATTAAATCTGTCGCCCCGCAGTATGATAACCGCCAAAACCTACATTTAGCTGTCGTTGATCTTTTTTCGATTTTGAAATGTCTAGCTCCCTCATTCATTATTTGGAAATTTTAAAGCTTAATAGAGGCGATCAAACATTTCAGTCAATTTTAGCAGTAACCACAACTTCATTAACATTGTTTCGTGTGAAGATAAGTAGGTACTACATCCACGGGAAATGTGGGTCCCGTGTTTAATTGTTAGGCTGCGTTGCCTTCGTTCGTTCGTTCGTTTCAGCCAAATGACGTCCACTGCTGGACAAAGGCCTCCCCCAAGGTTTTCCACAATGAACGGTCCTGCGCTGCCCGCATCCAGGCTCTTCCCGCGACCTTTACCAGATCATCGGTATACGGATCTGAGACGTGGTCGCTTACTATGGGCCTCATAAGAAGGCTCAAGGTCACCCAAAGGGCGATGGAGCGGGCTATGCTCGGAGTTTCCCTGCGTGATCGAATCAGAAATGAGGAGATCCGCAGGAGAACCAAAGTAACCGACATAGCTCGCAGAATTGCTAAAATCAAGTGGCAGTGGGCGTTGCCTTATTCTGCCGGAACCACACTGCATGCACAAAGTTTAGCATTAACACAAGTCTTCTATTCCAGATCTCCTCTTCGTCGAGTCACTCAACCTCCCTCGTCTAGTAACCTGCAACCTGAACCCGCTCCGCACGTGTCCACCGCAAGTGACGCACGCATTCTCTTCAGTGACGCGCGCGCACCAAGTCGTGTACTGCCAAGCTATCATCGAGAAGAACGCGCGACACACGCTGCAGTCGGCTGCTCAAGATTATGATGATTGGTTCCCGTATGATCCCTACACGCTGCCTGTGTGAGTATCAACATAATCATAATCGTCATCAGGTCATTGTCACCACTGCAGGAACCCTATGTATCCTTTATAATTTGCAAGAGGCAGATAGACCATTCAGTTTCGATGCGGGTCTCGATCCGCTATAAGAGACAACAAGAGAAGGATTGATTTGACTTACACTCCCCACGCTTACCGATGGGTTTCATTATCAGCTCAAATAGGCTCTTGGAGCATGACTCGTTGTAATTTACCACAGCCACGAGTATACACACCCCATGCTGACCAAACATTGCAAAGGCCTGATACTCACATCTTGTCTCATATATCTCTTCTGAGTCGATCGAACCGCGAATTTTGGAATAGTAGTTGAGCATGCAAATGTCTAGGTTGCCAGTAGTGAGCAATTAATTTATCAGAAAATCTCTAATTTGACTACAATCTCACATTGTTATTTTTGTTTTCAGATCCGGTAAGATAATCTGGCCGTTATGCATAGAGTACAAAGACTTCCTAAAGGACGGCGACAACGAGTCGCAATACACGCACATGAAAATAAAGCTTGAAGAAGACGACGACTACCTAATGTTAGCCAGCCCCACGAAAAGGATAACGAACGGCATTTCACCCGGATTCAGAACCAGTGAATCAATTATGATGTAGAGAATATGACTGAAATGGAGATTACTAATACTGCTTGGACAGTTAGCATCAAAAGTAGTGATAGTCCAAAGATTTGAAAAACCTCTTTTGATACTTTCTGTACCATAAGAGTAGGCGCACACCGTTGATTTTTAGTTGGCCAATAGTTGTGCCCGATTTTAAATTGTATGAAGAATCGGCCAAATCGAATCGTCGTAGTGTGCGCACTCCCAATACATGCCCATACCGATCAACTGCCCGACTAAACTATCGGCCGACGAAAAATCAACGGTGTGCGCCTACTCTAAAAGGCATCCAATGTAAGCCTTAAAAATTACTGATTTAATACAAATGTTAAGTTTTAGCCCAATATTAATGTTATTAAGATTGTGTCATACATTTTTGATATGTAACTAAATAATACATATTCGTATGTAAACATTTATACTTATCAATGGTATATTTTATGGAGTAGCGAAGAAAAAATTGCTATATTGCCTACCAGTAAATAATTTGCTTTACTTTTTTCTTAAGTCATGTTATCTATTGGATTCAGATGATAATTAAAGTCTGTTTTAAGTAAATTATTTATTCACCTTGATTTTTAAATAAAACATGTAAAAACATTTGCGAAACTTTTATTTCACACTAGCTGACCCGGCGAACTTCGTACCGCCTTAGCGTAGAGATTTTCTTAATATTTTTTTCCATAAGAACCATCCTTGGACTTCTACAAACATTTAAAAAAAAGAATTATCGAAATCGGTTCAGCCGTTCACACGTGATGCCGTGACAACGCGAAACGGGTTTCATTTTTATATATGTTACAGGAAATGTATGAAATCCGTCATTGTACACAATTCCTAGGAATTGTGTATAAATCCTAAAATCACCCGGAAATGTGTGATGTAAATTATATTAGACACATTTCCTAGGAAAATTACACATTTCCTAAACAGCAATCGGAAATGTAATTAAGATATTTTTTTTTTACAAAATCATTTTTATTACGCCACTTTTGGTTCTCCGAAACTTAAATGGCGCTACCGCGCCGCGGCAGCTGTGTATGTGTAAGGTCTCAAGTCTAACCTAACCTAACGGAGACTTTGTTATCCAGCTACAGGAGTACTAAAACCTTCATGCCAATAATAGTTTAATAAAAGAGATGTTAAAATTAGGCATTTCCAATACTTCAGCGTAACATGCGTGATGCCGAAAGCAAGGTATGCCAATAAATTTTAGGCAAATATTTTTTTCGATCAAAGTATAATAGTGCGAAAACAACTGTCAAGCTAAACAATAATAAGTAATTATGAGTTAAAAGTACCTATCGGCCAATGTGGTTTGGCTAAATGAAATTTTAGGCGTACCGAGGGGCACCCGATCACACGACCGCGCTTGAGCCGCTTAATTTTATACATTTCCTAATACAATATTGGAATTCTATAAAATTCCTAGGAAAAGTATACATTTCCTAGGATATGTGCGTATTAAAAAATCTCTGAAGCAATATTTTATACATTTCCTAAATAGCTTCGGAATTGTATACATTTCCTAGGAATAGTATACAATTCCTAGAATTCATACATTTCCTGTAACATATATATAAATTCCTATGCCTATGCACATACACACACAACACAACATAATTAATTTTTATTCAACTAATATTGAAATTAATTTGTTGAAACAATCTTGACCTAATAAATCACAAAACCTTAAATAATATTTTTTAATACACCATATTGTGAGATTTTATCTACCAAAGTTTATTTTTAATCCATCCATCACAAAATATTATTCATAACTTACTGCACCTGTCAGCATTAGAACAAATTAGTTTTAAAATATGTGTTTATTTATGAAATGAGATTAATATAAAAATATATGTTACGGTCAAAGTGATAAATGTGAAAATTATGAATAATCGCCGGTTATTATGAATAATTACCGCATGATTTGGTAAATGTGATTAATATGAGGTCATTTATGTGTGTATAAAACTAAATAGGCGGCTTAGGGGTGGCCCAAGGGCCACCCCCGCCGCACCTTAACCTATTTTTCACTTTAAATCAAAACATTATGTTATAGGCATCATGGAAAAGTAATATTATGCAAAAAACATTCCAAACTCATTATGCCAAATTATACTAATATATGATATCAAAACGTTCAAAAGTTTGGCTGTACACGAGCACGTACACAAGATGTTGTTCTCTTTTATGAAATTTGTTAGTACTAAGGTTGAATTATTAAATAATCACTGTTAAATGTGATTAATTTATCACTTTCACCGCGACTGTCGGGAATTATTCATAATAACCGGTTATTATTAATAATTTTCAATTTATCACATTAACCGTAACATATACACTGTTGCAAAACTGGTAGCATTTTATTTGACAAATCATGGTCATACATTAATGAACACTTAGATGGTATTTAGGGAGACGTTAAGACCACAAAGTTTCTTATAAACTAAGAATATATTAATACTGAATAAAAAACTAATAGGTATATTATACATACTAAAAGTATTAAACCGATTTTGCATTAAGTATTGGATAGCTTTACTAACATGAATAGATTAAATTCAGAATTAAAACCAGTATTGAGTATTTTTCTTGATAGGTAGCACAGATAGATACATGTTCTGCAATATTTTCTGATAAAATTAATTTGGAGTAGATAGGAATTTACCTGGATGCAAGCGGCGCAGGACCGGTCTTTGTGGAAATCCTTGGGGGAGGCCTTTGTCCAGCAGTGGACGTCTTTCGGCTGAAACGAACGAACGAACGAGGAATTTACTGATATTCAATTATTCTATCACTAATGTAGCATCAAGCAAGCAATAGAAATATGATTAAACAACTTGCAATATTCATACTGCTAGTATGAAACAATGCGCTATAACTTTTACTAATAATAATTATTATCATAATACAGTGGTAATATCAAAGATCTTTCAGGGATGCAAAAATTCACAAAATTCTCACCTCAATTTTAACTAGTAAATTTTTCAGGGTAGACAAGTGTACTTATAACTAACATTTTAGAAAAGTTTGCTATAAAAGCTATAAGTTGTTTACATATTGCAATATTTTGTCAATAAACCTAACAAAATAAAATACCACAATTTAACAAACATTTGCCTNATTTGCTTACTCAATAAGCAGAAATATGAAACACAGTAATTGTTTTCATGTGCCCTTAAATATTTCCTTTACCTGATTTACAAAGGCGATGTAATAATCTAAAAAAAAAGATTATCTTTTTTTATGATAGGGGTGTCTTCTTCTAAACGAGCTGATGGTTTTATTGGGGGGCTGGTGCTGTTTTGACTGATACTGAGCAATGATTGGGGTCTCATTGGCTGCCAGCTTGTTGACTACAAAGTCATCGCCTGGTTTCATGTTCTCCATCATCTTCAGCTTGGCCTCAATAGACTGGATGGCTGTCTTTTTGCTTAGTTTTAACTCCGGCTTAGCACCAGCTAAAGCCGCTATACCCAACTCTGGTTTTGGTTTGTCCTGGTCATCCTGAAATAAAAAAATGATGTAATGTTTTTGATGACTAAAACAGTTATTATATGATTTAGAAAGAAGAAATTGATTGCCACAACTAACACTATTGAATCTTCTAATTATTAACATTGCAATCTTGATAGGGTTTGTTAGGACAGTTGAAACAAACAATACAAACAAACTTACCGAAGTATTCTTTGCGAATTTGACACAGATTCTTTTGCAGCCTAATAGCTGTCCGTTCAATGAGTTCATGGCTTGAATTGCATCTTGCCTAAGCTTGTACGTAACAAAGGCGAATCCCCGGGGCTGACCCGTGTTGGGTCCACTCCGATGAAACAGCATGTCAAACTTTTCGATGTTCCCATACACACGGACCATTTTCAGTAATTGATACCGGTAATGAAAATAAATGGAGTTAATTAGACAAGGCAGTTGTAACACAATAACATATCTACATGAACACATGTGAAAAAGCAGGTAATAAATCAATAAAAAAAACTAGAGCTTGAACTTTTAAGGTAATGGGGTCGTTTAGGACAAATTTTGTAAAAATAGTCATACTCATTAACTCTGGTGTCCAGGTTGCCAATCCAAAGCCTCTTTTCGCACACCTCACTCTGCTGCATAGGTTCCAAATGCAAAGGGACCTAAAATAGAGAGAACCAAGTGGTAATTAAATGATTTTCCGAGGATATTGTATACAATCCCGGAGTCAATAAAAATAGATTTTATTTAAATAAAATAACACAAACCGTGGCGTCCTCCATTGTTAAAGTATTTCTCCTTTTACACAGTGCGATTTTTTCACGTATTTTTCATCCAGAACAGAATGTTCATACCGAAAACGCTCTCGCTCGCAAATAAAAATACCACTCACAAACACAGATTAGAGAGTATGCTCACAAAAACAAAGCTGTCATTTTGAATTTTTTACTTTTTTTTAAGGGAGAGTTCTTTTGTTTGTGTTTGACCTTCATCAATCATCGTTGAATTCAACTACAACGCCAACGCCAGCGCCACTTTAACATAGACTTAAACCAAGTAAAAAACTAACATTGCGAAATATCAATTTTAAACGAAATGGAACATGCTCCTGTTATACTTTTTTTAGCCCTTTAATAAAAATGGCAATGATAATTTTACTTATTTGATTCCCATCTCTCTGTTATATTTCATTAGGTTTTACCTTATTTATAACAACGCTTTATTTGATGGGGTGAATAATATAATTAGGATGTCTTCGGTTATGTACTAATTTAAAAAAAAGATGTCAATGACTTATGTCAAGTTTGACATTGACATGTGGTGGTGGTGACGAAATTGCACGAAATTGTGTTTTTGTTTGTTATCTTACAAATTACAATTCTTGAGTTTTAATTATACTCAAATTGAAATTATTTATGTTATTTCTTTAGTCATAGAAGTGAAATGGCTGTTATTCCAACTATGAAAAAAATTAACACAAAAATCCCTGGAATTTTACCGCCTCCGCCAAAAACTGAAATCGACGGTAAAATCTCTGATCTTTCGTCAAAAACAATTCCAGAATTAATAGAACTCCAGTCTCGACAAGCTAAACTATTGTGCAATAAGTCTTTTGTTTCCAAACTGCCAGACAAAGGCGCTAAAATACAGGCTTTCCATGACAAAATTGCTAGTACACTAAAGGAAAAACAAGAGGAAGAACAAACATGTCGTTTATTTAGTGATATGAAGCTGGACAATCGTACTGTTCAAGAGTTTGAATGGAAGGGCAAATTAGACGCAAATAGGAACACTTATCTAGATTCAGATGATGACAGTGAACCTGAAGATGTTTTGCAAATACTCAGCCAAAGCACAGCCCATGAAAAGAAGGTGAAAGTGATAGAGCCAATGGAGCCAAGTATAACAACTGAGGATCTTGTTAAAATAGGAGAAATCCCACATGTGAGGTATATTGTTGAAAAGACAGAGCACAAGCCTGAATCAAAAAAGGCAACAGGAAACTTCAAGCCGTTCAAAACCACTGTATCAGATGTGCACAACCCAGAAAAGGAGATTCTTAGGAAAAAGCACAAACACTGGGAGGTGACTGCAGCCACGCCTCCACCTTCCATCCATGGTCCGGCAAAGTTGCTGGCTTTGGAAGAGTCTTTAAAACTGCAAAAGGAGTATAATGTACACTTGAAGGAAGTTGAGGCCCAACATGCTGCTGAGAAGTTATTGGCCCGGACTGGAATCAAAATGCCCGTTCTGCCGAAAGATACAACAACCTTTGGATCATACAGAGACGCAAACAGCGATGATTCGGAAGAGTCTGATGAGGAGGGCAGTGATAAAGAGGTGCATGATGAGGAACCTGAAAGAGGCGGAGTTGTTTTTACAGTCATGAAGTAATTTTATGAATACCAAATCTACTTGATGGTTTAGCCATTTGTCAAAGATAAATCAAGTTACAGAAGCAGGATTATATTTTTTAATTTGATTTGATTGTACTCTTTAGGCAATATCGTTATGAAGTACCTACCTTATTGTTAACTTATCTATAGATTTTACAATGTGATCAGGAATAAAGGATATTTTTGCAGGCATTTATTATTTTCACTTTACCTTCTTTGCAATAGGACTTATTTACTTACTTACACAATATTATACCCACCTATCTTCTATACTTTTGTTTCTTGGACAGGATAAATTGAACTAAAGCAAATTACCTACTATGCTTACTAATATTAGTTGCAACTTGCAAGGCAAGATAATGAAAAGACTGCATTTGAGCATAAATGTAGGGGCGCTCGCGCACACGCTAGTCTGTTTTTGTTTATCATGCAACTTTTCCGACACGACACGAACGTATAATCATTCGCGCGCTGACCGCCAAGCGTGCCACTTGCGTGTTTCGCTTCCTTTAGCTGAGTGTTAAATAATCTATTGTTCTGTGAAATGGCTCCGGTTTCCAATACGGTTGTGGGGATCGACGATGACCAGCGATTCGCCCTGATGAAGGTAAGTGTGGTGATACGTTCTCGTTGTTATTCTTTATTTAAGCTAACATATCCGACAAATCTCGTTTGGCGATAAGCAAAGGCCGTCAAAATATTATTTATGTTGAGACCTTGCACTTGTTAGGCACTTGCCTTTATTAAACTATACTATACCTACTTTAAAATTGTACATACCTACATGCTTTGATTAGGTAATTTATAATCAAATAAGTAGGTATTACAAAGATAGGTAGGTACCTACTTACTTGACCACAGATATAGATATATCTATATCTGTGTACTTGACCGTGTTAATGCACCGAGGGAAGATAAATTCGTACGTAACCGAAAATTTAAGAATTACTTAATTAAACAATATATTTTGAAAAGTAACTATGTAGGTAGTTAACTGAAAAATTATTACACACCAACATGACAGTCGTCACGTTAAAACCAATAACCATTTCCGCCTCGTCCAATGGTTGACTGGAAGAAAATCAATCAATGCGTTACTTTTCGTTATGAGTACCTACTTACTTAATCTGGGCAAACTGAAGCCTGTTTGTGTAGGTAATGTAAAAAAGGCGCCCTAATTTAATCTTAAACAGACAAAATCAATGGGTAACCTACCTAAAGGTGTGCGTGCCCTCAAATCTATTGCTGCACCTGAATTCCGTACACCCACCCTATAACTTCTTGTCATACAAATTAGAAACAACTACATTATCTATAGTCCACAGCAAACCGGTGAAAGTACCATCCATGCATGGTGACCGTCAACCACACCAGAGGGCAATAAACTCGTATGCCAGACATATTTAAATTCGTTTTTTTACCAATAATAGCCAAAATAAAACTAGCTTTTCCAGTTTCCATAGTGGGACGCACATCTGCTATTTAGAGATATTTTCTGACAAAATAATAAATATTTTACTCAGGCAAATTAATTTCCCGAACTTCTTATTCGTTTTCTTATTGCCTCAACTGTTTTTAATGTACTATCTGGCGACTTGTGCATAGTTTAATCACAAAATAGAAATTAATTTAGTAGGCGTCAATAGCCAAACGGTGTCGTCGTGTCGGACCACCGAGGAACGCGGGTTCGATCCCCGCCCCGAGAACCCATCTCGTAACGTACCTACATAGTAACTAGTATTATATTATCTGTGATAGTACTATTACCCTATCATTAGGCAGTATGGCATATAATTTTTTCCTACCCAAACAAAAAAAAACTTGGATTTGTTCAGTATCTTGCGGTATTGACGTAATATCGGAGTGAGCGAAGTGACCGTAATCGCGTTTTAATGGAACCTGCATAACGGAGCTGGGAAAACTGATAGAGTTGCAATAATTGCGTTGTTGTGTTGAAACATGTTTCATACATGTTTTTTTTTATGCATGCATCACTATTAAAAGCGATTCTGTCGCCTCTAAGGAAAAGTTACAGAAATCTCAATCTAAATGATTCGTTGGACATCATTGAGTAAAGTACGAGTACATAGCACTGGGTACCTACATAATTGTTTAATGACATGTTGATCACGGCACATTTTGACTGCAATATGTTGCTTCTCAATATATTAATGTTACGCACGTAACAAAGTGGAAACACCAAAAAAATGTGGGACTCGCCCTTTCGCTTTGTAATTTCGTAGTCACCACAAAACCTTTACCGCCAATAAAAACTATTGACCATAAAAAGAAGATAAAACCCAATGGCCCTACAGATTTTGATGATTGTATGATTACAAAAACTGCCCGTTGAATGGCCGATTCGAATTGTAACGAGGTTACTATGAAATATTGAATGAACGTCCAAGAGTTAATAGTTACTCAAGTTTTGAATTTTGATCAGAAGTTACATTACACTTTTTAGCAATATTCATAAAAAAACATAATAATAATAACAGATATTGGACCATCAGAGACTAAACTGTAGGTAGAGCAACAGAGCAACTAAACGGTACCTACCTTCCGCTATTCTGTGTTTTAGTACCCCGAGCACGAATAAATATCCGCAATCCGATTTCAGTTATCATGAGCGCGGGATATTATAATCATAATTATTATGATTTTGAGAATTAGCTAGATTACTTCCTACTTTGGTATACAATAATGTTAGTTGTTATACCTACCAAATAGATTAGATACCGACATGTGGATTAATCTGTTTACAAATTAAGAGTGAATGCCTCTCAACTAGATGAATGACCTCCTAAACATATTGCAACTCTACGTTAAGCATTTTAAATTGAAGCAGATGTCAACATCATGCTAATTAAGTTTGAAAGAGTTGATCGAAATTGTGTAACTTTGGAAATAAATATTGATTCAGGTTCCCCGCAAGGAACCATCTTGAGACCCCTTTGTGGTCGTGATTGCTGTATCAACTCAACTGTGTGTTATGCTGAATTATTCTAAGCACATCAACAAACAAAGCTACATTTAGGTGTCAACGACTCTCCTAACAGTCATTAATGTATCGATGAAGGACGAGCAAATAATCTATTAGTGTGTTTGTGTCAACATTGCGAAATGCATCGCACATACAAGGTCAGGGGAATGCTACTGGTTTGATACGCAATGTGTAATGTTTTCGACACTAGCAAGAACAAGTGTTTCTCAAATACTCAGTGAATGTCCGGACAACCTCCAGCCGGATGATAAAAGGGAAGGGAAATAAAAGAAAGGGAAAGGCAGAGTCCGGAGAGAATTTAAAACTTTTAGTTTCGGACACCCAACTGACTTATTTCTAGAGCATAATTATATTAAGTAATCTACACTCACAAATTAATTAAGATGCCAGTCAGAGTCGCAAAGTCTCTACATCACATAACCAAGGTTTTTTTTTTCAAGATGAGACATGGCCAGACTCGGAAAAACAAAAGTTTCTGGTAATTCATAACTCAAACAAAACAAAGAGCTATTTCGTAAGCTTTTCGGTAAATAAGTACTTTATAAGGAAAAGGAATCTGTTAACTGACGATGACCCCACGCCATTAAGTCCGAAGAACAAACAACCGGTTTCAAGCAAATAAGTTGCAGTTTTGGCTAATATTTGCGAATATGATTGTGCATTTAGCAAAGATGATGACGTATGCGTGTGAAAAAGCAGGCGACATCTTCGTTAGCTAATCTTAGGTAAATTCCCTGTCACCTGTCTAGCCACGTCTTGCGGTGAATAGAATTATGTAAAACATCCTTGTTTCTAGTGAAATTCTAATAGTACCTAAGTAGGATTAAAAAGAAAGAAATTCATGTCCTAATATGCTTTGAAATAGCTGAAAGAAGTAGGTACACCTACCTAATCAGAAAATTAGCATTTTAAAAAGTTTTGAGCTTACTTGAAGTTCATATTATTAGCAGCCTTACATTTTATAAAACGACATGTTTATTACAATGTCGACTGGATCACCTTGACCGTGTGAGCACTCTGTAAAAACTGGTTGAAAAAACCCGATTCTTTTATTACCTGCCTTACCTACTTGATTATTTATTTTTAATTAGAAGGTGGGAATAAAAACCTTCCAAACTGGATGGGTCGAAAGCAAAGCCAATATGTCACGATAGCCAACTACTTTAATATAAATAAATTCACATTATTGCTTCAGTTTAATTTTCTCCGTGGCGAGCGCCAACTTGCGGATATTGCAGAGGCAGCCTGCTGACGCCTCCTGTAGGATCGGATCTTTGGACCCAATGGTTTCCAGCAGGAACTGCACTACACCAGCCTGGAATAATAATAAACATCACATTTTCATTACTAGCTTCGTCCTGTAGCTCTACCAGGGCCGTCTTTAACCTACTAGAGGCCCTGGGCATTTAAGAATCAAGGATGTCCTTTCCTCAAAAAATGGGAAATTAGAGAAATTTTCACCCCACTCGATCGCGGGGCCTTGGTAACCTGCCCAGAATACCCACTGGGAAAGAGGGGCCTGAGCTCTACCCTTGTGAAGTACCAAAAGTGACTGACAGTCTTTATAACCTCGTGGATTTTGATGAATGAAGTTAGTTTTTAGCGATAGGTGAACGAGCTCCGAGGTCACAGAAACATAAATATTTTGCGCAGACGTTTAAAAAACGTTATTTTGAGGATATCCGCAATTGTTCAAAACATATTAATAATAGGACTAATAAAATTATGTAACTTATCTCAGCTTCTCTTCACAAATGTTTGTTTGTACACAGACAAAATTTAAACTAAGTTACTGCGTGGATATCTGTTATTGGCTTTCCATAGTGTTAAGTGTCTAATGTTACATTGAAATCTGTAAGCTGTTGATGTCCCTAATAAATAAATAAATAAATATTACCGTTACATTAACTGGATACCTAACTTTCGTATTCAACCACATATTTTTACGAATTTAGTCAGGTAAGTAATTATGTATTGTTCTTACTTACTTCGTGTCAAAGATCAGGTCATGCCATTTACGCTAAGTAAGATTTTAGGTTTTCTTTGTCTGCTTACATTTACAGATACCTAGTTACATTAGATAAACGACGCTAAATACTTATCCGAATTTCTTAATCTTCGAATGACGTAAAGTAAGTTCTATTTTAAGACCTATTGCGCTGGTGCAACTTGAATGTTCAAATAGATACAAGAACTGCTTTGGAAAGTAATCTCACACGTTATTGTCGCCACCTGACTCAAATCCGTGTGGTAACACGGAACACCTACAATGATTGCATGACGTGCTATGCAGCATACGCAAACAATTAAGAAAGGCAGTGCTATTTGTGTAAACTAGGTATAAGTATGACAGCATTCATCTTACACATATTGCACACTTGGCTAGCTGCTAACCACACGCAACTTTAATACAACTAAATCGTTTTCAAGCTTTAACAAGACCTCACATTCAGATTCCTATAACTTTTTGATTAGGATCTACATAATTAATCGAAACATGCCATCAAAACTATATTTTTGGACCCATAACACTAGCACAAACATTATCATGCAGAATGGTTGAAAAGTGATTAAGAAGATGCTACTAACAGCATGCATGGTGACACAGTTGATGGAGTAGAAGGACAGGTGGTAGAGAGCCAGTGCCGTCGCCCTGTGCACGTTGGGGTCCCGTGACGTCATGTAGTTGACCAGCGGCGTGATGGCGCCTCGCTTGCCAAACTCCTGCCTGTTCTGTGCCCAGTCGCAGCAGTACGCTATTGCCACGCCCAGATTCGCTCTCAGGTGATCATCTGTTGTGCTCACTGCAATGAAACATTGTAATAATACTCGCAAATGGAATAAAGTTATGACAATTGAACANATTGAACGTAAAACCGGTAATTTGTCTTACCGAGTTTCGAAAGTTTACCCACAACACCGTGATCGGATATGACCGCCAAATTCTCGTGGTCTCTTGCAATGGTTGCGATTGCAGCGCAAACTGCCGACAAAACGTTATGGTCGTCGGAGTCCAGTAGGTCCACGGTCAACTCCAAGGCGCCTACGAAGGATCTGACCATCTCCCCGGAATCTGCGGCATTTTGCACACAAGGGCTCAAAGCCAAAGCGGCGTTTGTCTGAACTTTCTTCGAGTCGTTCTTCAGCAAAGACCAAACAAGCCTCACACCGTCCAATTCGTCTATTTCGTTCATGCAAAACTGTTCTTTAGCGCATTCCATTAACACCAGAGGCACGTTCTCCAGCAATGGCTTGTAAGTGTTGTTTAGATGATGAACTGAAATAAATAAAGATTATAAGACTTTAATTTCGCGATTAAAATTACTAACTAACTAAGTACCTATTTATGCAACTCGATTAATGTTTTTCCTGTGAAGTGCACCCCATAATTTATATGGGTCATTTCATTATTCATGATTGTTTCTTATTGTGTAGCGTTTGCACACAAGAGAATGTTTAATTAAAATAATGACTTACTTAGCATTGGAATGCCACCAGCAGATCTAATTTTATCACGATTCGGTGGATATTTAGCACACTCTGCGAGTGCCCCGGCGACGTTGGTCAATACGCCATCGTTTTCGTCATCCAACAATCTGACCAGTATAGGGACTGCTCCAAGGCTGTCCAGCCTTTTTACACTAGCATCGCTGTTGGCACATTTCCATAGAGCTCCAGTAACCGCCGCCAACAAAGGTTTATTAGGTCTATTGGTGCTATCTTGCGCGGCCTCTACCAACAGCTCCAAACCTCCAGCTTCACGAATCATATCCCTCGTAATAGAATCGCTTGCGCATTTGTAAATCGCCAAACTACAGTAAGTCTGTAACGCATAACGTAACCATATAGGAAGTTTAAAACGTGAATACGTTGTTTACGCACCGCGAAATTGTTAAGCTACCCAAATTATTCATAAGTATTCAGATCGCGTGACAGCAAATCGGGAAAGGTAGGTACGTGCAACTCAACCATGATGAGCGGTGCCATAAAAGAGTCGGCGTTAATACCACAGCGTTACCCAACAAAACAATTGCTACATGTTACCTTCAGATCTTTGTCATCGTTGGCCAAGTGCGTTATCAAGTCGGTGACCATTTTCTCCGTTTGTATAGCCAGTTGGAATGACGTTTCATTCGCGCACATTTGAAGAAGTCCAACTGCCGGAACAGCCACGTCTAGATGAATAGTTTTGAGCATTTTGGCTATAAGAGGTATCATGCCGTACTTCCGCATTGCCTCGCGGTTCCTTTGTGAGGATGACATTGACCATAATGCTTTAGCTCCAGCACGAGCTATATCTAGAAACTGTAACTCATCTTGATTTAGCTCCTCACGCGGAGACACTAAGTACCTAAAAGATAAAACTATCGTGTACCTACATACATTTTGTTATGAAATCCTATCCATATCAAAATTCAAGTTATTCACCGTTCCTTTATGTCCAATAAATCGATCAGTTTGGGAATCCCTCCAAATTTTCTGCAAAACTTCCTACTTTTACGGATTCGCCCTAAATTAGCAATTGTTTCTGCCGCCAGGATTTGCACGTCCCGTGCTGGATCAGACAACAATCCCACCAACAAAGGGATCGCTCCCAAATCTGTTACTTTCTTCCTTATTTCAATATTCGGGGTTATATCTTTCAGAACAGCCAGTCCACCTAAGATACAACACAGATCTCTCGTTTCCAGCAAATTCACTAAAAGCTCTAGACCGCCTATCTCTTGAATAGCTCTTTGATTGACCTCTATCGTCAGGTCGTGGTCTTTCAAGCAGGACAGAGCTACCATCGTCGCGGTTTGGTTTCCTGCTTTCATGTACTTTACCAGTTTTTGTATATGCCAGTACTCTGGTGGTATCTCCGAGGACTTGATGAGGTCGGCCCAGTTGTCCTCTGACTCGGACGTGGATGATGCTGAAGATGCCGATGTATCAGAGCCTTCTGTGACCATCACTATCCTGGGCAGACCCACAGTATCCTGCCCCCCATCTGCACTAAACGTAGAAATGTTATCTGCGTCCGTCATTGTAATCTTTGGATGTAAATTTAAACAAACACAAAATTATGATTCAATTCAGTTTCTTTTTATGGCTGCAATCGTGATTGTTATTGTAAAAAACTCTCCTCAAAACGTTTGCGGGAAATTGTAGCTTCGTTATGTCAATATTTTGCTGTCGCTTGGCAACTGTCAGGATGATTTTGCGCCAAGTTTGTAAACAAAAAGGTTTTTCTTGAAGTTATTAGGTAATTTTCATGTAATTTTCCACCGACTATGTTACCTAAACATTTTGTTGTTTGTAGGTATTTCTCATACATCTGATTTGATTTGTTCGCTGTATGCTGGAGTAATTATGTATGTAAGGTCAAGGGAGAAGCGTAACCATACAGCGTCAGCCCACATTTTATTGCAAAATAGCTGTTATTTCAACTGCATAAGATGCCAAAGTGTAACACACACTTCATCACACTTGAAGTGCAATCGTCTGTGTCTTTACTATAGTAATTAGGCACCACAATACCACAATACGCTCATGTTGTTATTGATTAACTTTAAAAGGATACGAAGCAATGGTATAATGTTGTTATCTTTGAAACCACCTCGGTGGATGGTTGAGGATCGTTTAGTAGAGCTACTGATCATTTAGGTACCTACATTTACCTATTGCGTTTTCTTTATGATTATTTACTTTGTTACAGTTCAGAAAGAGCGTCAAAGACATCATGAAGCCAGAGCACAATGACCACTTTCTGCTACGGTGGCTTAGAGGTCAGTTCTTCTACACCTACCTAAGTTTACTATCTTCCAAGAGAACAATCATCTTCAACATTCTTACAAAACTACGACAATCAATTTACTAATGTTTTACACAGTTTAATGGTGAGAAATGTTAGCGACCTTCACTTATAGGTATTTTTCTAACTTTTGTTAAAGTCATCATGCCTCTGATGAAATAACACTTGATAGAGTAAACTCCACTGACCATTATTCGTGGAGTTCACAGATATGGATAGAACAATCATTTTCGGTCGATCATGCCGATCGAGTAAGGTACTTACCTAAATGTAGAGTGAATGAAATGTAGAATGTAGATGAGTCGATCTCGCAACGTTATCGTATTCTAATTAATATTTCGATAAAGTTCTTAAGGAGATTATTAACTGCTCTCCATGATAACATTGTTTTGTAATCAAATATTAAGATTAGGTTAATGCGTTGTGTAAATTGTGCAAATTACCTACTACCACTAAGCTAATTTAAGATTCTACACGACATGTAGAGTATTATTATGTAAGTTTCATTTATATGTAATTAATAATACCTAAGGTACAAAAAATCCATCACTGTAAACACAGCAAGGTAACAAAAACACATAAGAAGCAAATAATATTCAGAATAATCTTGAAAGTAATTGTCTTGTCTCATAACTATTCACATTTGTCACACCTACAATAACGGGTTTTAAAATATTTTTAATTTTAAAGTTAAGAAATCAGTTGAAATCGGTCGTAAAACCTGTCTCCCAAACGATGATAATTGACTCTACGATTCGTCGTAGACAGTAATGGCCTCGCGGTGTCCATGAAGAATGCGAATAAACTCATATGACCATATGACTCACATTTACGATGTTTTGAATGTTGGCTTACAAACTTTTGGTTCGCGGTTTTACGCAGCGTCAGCAAAAAACGAAGTAGGTAACTTAGAACGTACTATTTACTAAACATCTATGTACCTACTTACATAGGTAATCTTAATTAGGTACCTCCTAAAAACAGGAAGAAAAATTCAATTAACCCATTAGAGGTCAAACACAAAGTACAAATATATTTTCAAAATTTTCTTTATTTTCATATTGAAATCAGAGCAAAAAAACACAAGATACAAGAAAATGCTGAAAAAAAGTTATTTTCATGAAATTACAGGGGTGTACTCAATTGGGTACAATGACCTCCTAAGTACCTATGCTAATTTTCAAACTGCGCCTTTTCTACCAAAAATGTTTTAAGGGACTTCTTATACTGCCAACACACTGTTGAATGACAGAGAACATACCCCAGCTCTTTTTGAGTTTTTATGGGATATTTTCCAACACAATTTTGAAGGAAAACCATCAACTATGTGTACAGCCGGGTGAATTCACTTTGTTTACTTAGAATATCTCTTCATCTAGTGACCAGTAAAGTACTTGAATACACTGTCTCTCGAGGTAGCTTGTGGTACTCAGATAGTACCAAAACCCGTAAATAGGGCTTTATAGGAATCCCAAGTGTATTGTGTTGATTGGATACTGCTATGAATATAGCCAATAGAAATATCATAATGATATTGAGAAGCATCGTAGTTATCTATTGGATATAAAAATATGTTCAGTATTTTTTGTTTTTTCAAAATATACTGTGCAAGTTTGAGGCCTTCATAAAATATAGCAAACTTATCACCACAGACTTCACGATTGAAGAATTACGACTTTTGATTGGGTGCGGATTCAGAGGGGATTTGTGGGAAACATATCGACTTTTTTTCACGCCAGCGGTTCATTATCGCTGTCTTCCTATAAACTGCCTTTACTTCCACTATCCCCTCTGTTCATAAATACCCTTTAGTACGTCTTATGGTATGAAACACGCCGCCATATCGTCTTATTCAGTCAACGCATTTGTATCAGGTGGTACAATTATTAGCTAAAATACATTCATCGTCAATAACTATGCTGTAAATGGCTCCAATAATTTCTTCAAGTCCCTTTTAGCTCTTTTGAGCTGTAAAATGTTACAAAAAAGCAAAAAATAAATACAGTTTTCAACCGACTTCAAAAAAGGAGGAGGTTCTCAATTCGACCCGTATGTTTTTTTTTTCTATGTTTGTTACGCGATAACTCCGCCAATTATGAACCGATTTGAACAAATCTTTTTTCGGCGTATAGGTAATACCTCAAGGGTGGTCCCATTTAAATTTAATAATAGAAAAAACAAGCTTCAAGGGTGGAAAATTGGGGATGAACTTTTTTATACGCAATATCTCCGCCGATTATAAATCAATTTGAACGATTATTTTTTTGTTGAATAGGTATTATCAAAAGGGTGGTTTCATGCGAATTTGAAGAAAATATTTCACCCCCAAGGGTGGAAAATTGGGGATGAACTTTTTTATACGCAATATTTTTAATTTTTAGTTTTTTTTGTGTTCACGCATTTGAAGTCGGTTCTATTTTTAAAAAAAGTTAATTATTTTACTTACGCATGTTGTCATTGTACCTAACCGAGTACAGTAACTTTTACATGACCCTTGTTTTATTTGAGATGTAAATATTATATTATATTGTGCTTTATAACTTACTCTGATATGTATTCTAAAGTAATTAAATAAAAAAATCAACTTTTGAGCAGTAATTGTTATAAAAAAAATAAAAATTAAACACCTACCTCCACTACGTTTCAGTAACACAACTTCAACTGATACTTTTTATCAAAAAAAGTCCCACTACCCGCGTCATTTTTGTCAATATACTTTAATAGTGTCATAATGACGTAAAATATCAAGTCAACCCATGTTAATTTTGTGAGATTTGCAATTAACACGTAAAAATATAGCTGTACCCATTTGAGTACAGTGACCTCTAATGGGTTAAGAAGCCGAAACAATAAAATTAACAGTTCTATCTTCATTCTCTGATAGAATTAGTAACTTATTAACTTCACTGAGTATTCCCGAAAGTTACTTATAAGCTGAAACATTTTCAATGAAGTTACTGAAAAAACAGTTTAATACGTTTCTATGAATTTCAGCTCGTCAATGGGATCCAGAAGCAGCGGAAAAGATGCTTCGAGATGTGAGTAAAAAAATAATTGCATTTCTATCTAACTAGTTATTCAAAATGGCAGTTTATTAGCCTCAATTTTATTTGTTTTCAGTCAATGAAATGGCGCGAGAAATGGGAGGTGGATACTACTCTACACTCTTGGCAGCCACCAGAGGTCTTGGAAAAACACTTCCCGAGTGGAAGCACCGGCTTCGATAAAGAGGGATCTCCTGGTATGCCATTAATCTTCTTCAAATCTTTTCTTAAGAAAATGCTTCTTAAAAATACTCGTATTCATGTGATCATAAATCGCTAGATAGCAAAAATCGTAGTAACATCAAAATCATGTTCAGCTGGGGTAGGATGCGCGTCGTGATATACATACCTACCTACTTTATCGACGTCAAAATGTATGGACAAAATCGATAAAATGGCGTGATAACCGCTTATCGCGGCGCACATCCTATGCCAGATGTTTCATCCATTAACTTTGTTTGAAAATAACACCTTATTCTGTAGAATTCGGGTTCATAAAACCTGTCATTATAAGTACCTACCTACTTGCATTATCCAAAAAGTGCTCAGAGAAGAATCACATCATTATTAAACACAACACAATAAAAAAGATAAATAAAAATAAAATTATTTAAACTTACATGATGATGCTTCCAGTGATAATCGTGCCATTCGTGGGCCTGGACGTGTGGGGGCTTCTGCACTCGATCACGCGGACTGACGTCATCCGCATGGTGCTCAAACACCTGGAGAACTACCTGGCCAGCGCCAGGAAGCAGGCGCTTGCTCATGGACCTGCAGCTTTGAAGGTATTGGAGATAAATCGTCCATTATAGAACACTAAAGTGGCTTTTCCTAACGGCGTTTCACTCGTACCAGCATCCCGTTTCAAGAAATGAATGTAAAAAACAACTTACAGGAAAATAGATTACATGAACCTAGTCATTGATTTGAGCTCAACACTGATTGTGTAAACATAACAATTGACTATCAATTAATTAACTGTTTACCACTTCATTGTTTCCGCTCTTACTTCATCACGATAGTAACCACCCACATCCACATACATTCTAGATTGTGGTATAGACTTTCTCGTAACGGCTTTACTTTGTAGCAAAACTTACAAGAATCTACTTTAATGTTTCAGGTCACGGTACTCTTCGACCTGGAAGGATTCAACATGCGACAATATGCGTGGAAACCAGCTGCTGAAATGGTGTTTACGTTACTGCAAATATACGAAGCGAACTACCCTGAAATACTCAAAACTTGCTTCATAGTTAACGGTAGGTAAATGATTAAAAATTCAGAAGAAAAAGAAGCGACAACAACATATTGATAGACCCAAGAACAATGATGGTCTTTCGAGGCAGATTACTTTATAAGTTTTTGTCCCACGTTATGGAATCATATCCTGCTTTATGTTCTCGGCGTTCAATTAGAATAGGTAGGTACATAATTTTTGATCGAATTAAAATGTATAATTAACATTCTTTCAGCACCAAAAGTATTCGCCCTCGCTTTTTCTGTGATCAAAAAGTTCATGCACGAGTACACGATATCGAAGATCAAGATATACGGCACAGACACGAAGAAGTGGCAAGCGCAGGTGCTCAGCATAGTGGATAAGGACCAGTTGCCGGTGCACTACGGGGGCACCATGGTGGACGAGAATGGGGACCCAAGGTGTAGCCTCATCGTAAGTGCTGATTGTCTTGATGCTTTCACGGGAATTTAATTGAGCTCACCTATATTCGAATGGGATGATTATAGTGCCATCTATCGCGTTCAATGAAAACCTCGTAAAAATATACAGGGGACGGTTTTTAGTCTCTCCTGAAAAATAATGTTTTCGGTACTCCCGAGGTTTTCACTCGTCAACGACGATACAGACAGGGTAGGGATATACGAGTAAGTTATTAACCGATAAGTAAGTAGGATTAAAGAAGACGTAGGTAAAGTTTGAATTGATATTTTCTATACGATCGGGAAAAGATCAGTGAGAGATGATGGCGTGTTGGCAAACATTGTTATCTAGCAGGTGGAACTTAATTTATTTCTCTCAAATCGGTTAAGTGTTAAGAAGTTCTGAAGGAACATAAAAAAATTGCCTAAAAGTCTCATAATTTTATCTAACTTCTTTCAGGTCAGGCCAGGTGGAAAGGTATCCAAAAGCTACTACTCGAAGAATTCCAGCGGAGACTCAAAGAAAGAGTACCATCGAGTCACAATCAAGACGGGAGACAAGCACACGGTCGACTTGCTCTGTGCTGATCCGGAGAGTGTTTTGAAGTTAGTATTTAGATACATTTGCGAAATTATGAATAACACAACAGTTAGCCTCCGAAGAGAAAGCTAACAATTCTATTAANTCTGTCTGTCTGTCTGTCTGTTACGCTTTCCCGCTTAAACCTCGCAACCGATTTTGATGAAATTTGGCATAGAGATAGTTTGAGTCCCGGGAAAGAACATAGGATAGTTTTTATCCCGGTTTTTGAAACAGGGACGCGCGCGATAAAGTTTTTCTGTGACAGACAAAAATCCACGCGGGCGAAGCCGCGGGCGGAAAGCTAGTAAGCCATAATTCCTTTCGATAGCTCGTAAACAAAATCTGCGACCAGTCATTCTTAGCATAACTTCTTCCTTCAAGTGAAATACTAAATTTTTCACAGATGGGAGTTCGGGATAGAAAGCCACGACATAAAGTTCGTAATCAAGCGGCGGGACGAGGACGGCAACGTGGAGACAGTGCACGGGCCGCGGAAGGTGCACGAGGGGCCCATAGACGTCGGCGTGCTGCCCGTCACGGGGCCCTCCACTTGTGAGTGCAGTATATTCCATACAAATACTGAGTTTGTTCCGGCGTTTCTTCTCAGCACTTGCCATATGTTTGTCTCGAAGCGCTGGTAGGGCCCAAAAGATAAGGAGACATGTAAAGTGCCCCATAAGGGCTACCTTTTTCTTTTTTTATTATTTTCTATTGACGTTCATAAGTGCCACTTGTGGTCTAAACTGAATAAATATTTTTTGATTTTGATTTTTTTTGATTTTATGACATGATCATGGGACCCAGGGAAAAAATACGACCTACATCCCGGAGTTTTAGCGAAGGTTACCTTTTCACACTTGTACCGATTAGAATTTAGGTGAAACTACAGAGGTAAAGAGACCCTGGGAATCCCTTCATGGTAAAACATTGGTTAGTCTTATTTTTCACCCAGGTGAAAGTGGAATGATCCAGTTTTTTAGGGTTCCGTAGTCTGACAAGGAACCCTTATTATCCCAGTCTTCGAAGAGGGAGAAGACGCGCAGTCTTTNCGAAAGGGATAGGCTGAACTTCATACTCGCATGCTACTTTGCTGATGGCAGCAACGCCAGAAAAACAATTACTAATTACACTTTTTCGTCTTTTTCAGACTCGGTGATATTCGACAACAAAAACGCATTCCTCCGAAGTAAAAAAGTATTTTACCACGTTCTCATCTCTGTGCCCGCCAAGGATCTCAATATTAGTGATATGCCAGAAGACGACAATCCAGAAGACAAACAACAATCAGAGACCTCAAGCAGTACCGCCTTATAAACTTTAGATTCCAATGATATTTTTATTAGACAAATCTTTCTTGATTTTTAGGGTTCCGTAGTTTAAGGTATCAACAAGTTATTAGACAACTTTTATTAATTTTTAAAGGTAGCAACAAAAGTTCTTCTAAAATAGCTGTTGACGTTTGAAATGCGCTCGCGCCTATACAACTTTCAAATCTAATCAATCAGCATTCAATGAACACTATGTGGTTACAGAATGCATTTATTCGATTAATTAACTATGACCATGTTAATTTTATTTTTGATATGAATTTATTCACTTTTGATATTAGTGTTGAATTTCTGTGATAACTGTAAGTCAATTTCAAAAACAAATTATATGAATGTTGTTAGTGTTCACATTTTATAATGACTGATTTTACAAATCTAATACACTCGCGAGCAAAACTATGGAATCACTTACATGAAGTTGTTTCCACGTGAACTTGTGTACTAACTAATTTGTTAGTAACAAAAAAAGTGGCACCATTTTAAAGATTAAACTTTTATCTTTAAATTGATACCAAATTCATTTAAATCACATCAGTATTTAAAAAGATATCCCGGCTGATGTGAAGAAGTAACGAAAAAGACATGTATGAACTGTTTGATACGTCGCGAGTTGCGGCCTATTTACCCCCTATAAAAGCACGCGTTTTCGGATTTTTGCTTTCACACGTTGATTCATACACATCTCCGCTTCTTTTGACACTTTACCTGGGATTCTACACCTTCAGAAGCAGCACAAATCGTTGCACTATTGCAAGAAGGGCTCAGCCAGCGGGCTGTCGCACGTCAGCGCCACATAAGCCAGTCCTGGGTTTCGAAAGTTTCAAGACGCTTTCGGGAGACTAGTGGCTTTATCCCGAGACCAAGTTCTGAACAGCGCCGGTGCACATCGCAGAGGGAAGACCGTTTTTTCATGTCAACCTCTCTATGAAATCGTCATTTGACTGGAATCGATGTCCATCAAGAGCTCAGAAATGTTCGTAAGATAGCTGTTAGCGAGTGGACAGTTCGTCTAAGATATAAGCAATAGAATTTGACTCCAAAAAGGCCTGCCACAGGCTCGAAACTGACGGCAGGTCACCGATAAGCACCCTTTCAATTTGCTCGTACACATCTCGATGGGAAGGCGAGTAATGGAGGCGAGTTCTGTTCTCCGATGAATGCAAACTGTGTTTGCAGGGCAGCAGTCGAAGAGGTCGGGTTTATAGGCGGCCTCAGAAGCGATTTGTGCAGTGCTGGTTCGCTGAAACAGTGGCTTATGGAGGTGGCTTGCTCGACTTAACATCGAGATGTGTACTAGCAAATTGAAAGCGTGCTTATCGGTGACCTGCCGTCAGTTTCGAGCCTGTGGCAGGCCTTTTTGGAGTTAAATTCTATTGCTTATGTCTTAGACAAACTGTCTACTCGCTAACAGCTATCCTACGAACATTTCTGAGCTCTTACTGGACGTCGATTTCAGTCAAATGTCGATTTCATAGAGAGGTTGACATAAAAAAACGGTCTTCCCTCTGCGATGTGCGCCGGCGCTGTTCAGAACTTGGTCTCGGGATAAAGCCACCAGTCTCCCGAAAGCGTCTTAAAACTTTCGAAACCCAGGACTGGCTTATGTGGCGCTGACGTGCGACAGCCCGCTGGCTGAGCCCTTCTTGCAATAGTGCAACGATTTGTGCTGCTTCTGAAGGTGTAGAATCCCAGGTAAAAAGTCAAAAGAAGCGGAGATGTGTATGAATCAACGTGTGAAAGCAAAAATCCGAAAACGCGTGCTTTTTATAGGGGTAAATAGGCCGCAACTCGCGACGTATCAAACAGTTCATACATGTCTTTTTCGTTACTTCTTCACATCAGCCGGGATATCTTTTTAAATACTGGTGTGATTTAAATGAATTTGGTATCAATTTAAAGATAAAAGTTTAATCTTTAAAATGGTGCTACTTTGTTTGTTCCTAACAAATTCGTTAGTACACAAGATCGCGTGGAAACAACTTCATGTAAGTGATTCCATACTTTTGCTCGCGAGTGTAGATATTTTTTAAAGGAGAATTTTTTTTATTCAGCCATTTGGTACTATATTGTCAATAAGAATAGAATGTAATATTTGGTTGATAAGTATACATTTATTAATGTTTTAATGTTACAAGTTTCAAATGTAGTTAAGTCTTTGTAGTATACTTATTTCCATAAGTGTTGTGTTTTTACTTTTCACTCCCTAAAAATGGTCTTAGTTCTTTAATATGTAGGTACATGTTTTATGACTGACCCTAATTTACGCGGGCGAAGTATTCAAAGGCTACTTAAATTATAAAACTTGATTCAAATGTAAATATTTACTGAAAAATATGCAGCTGTCTTATGATTACATTGGATATATACATTTTAAGTTTATATTACAGTAGGCGTCAGTCGTTCACTCTTCCTCCTCAAACATCATCTGCAGGAGGTCTCGTTTGTTGCACTGGCTGCCCTCGAGTCTCTGGACTCCTTTCCACTTGATGATGGTGGGGATTACCATCAGGCTTGTGCGGCTGTCTGTCCTGAAGGGGCAAGCTTTGTCCTTCCAGCTGAAACAAGTTATTTCAAGTTTTATTTTGATAATATAAAAGCTGCTGGCTGATCGCAGATAGATAAAGAAAAAAAGTTTTATTATTCTTTTGTCTTTAATTTTTTTTTCTGCATCTCACCTGAAGGAAGATGGAGATCAAGCTATGTTGTGCAAATTATAGGAATTGTATACAGAATGTTAGAAAAAGAGTATTATAAGCTGTAGATCACAAATAGAGAAGGGCCATTAGAAACTATAAAAAGTATTATGTTAGTTTTTATTGTTATTATAGTAGATAACCATAAAGATTAAAGGCATATAAAGCTAACTGACAAGTAAAAACTGAGTGATAAATATATAAATACTCACTAATCCCTGTCTCCAACATCCACGTAGACAAAAGTAACACTTTTCTGTAGCTCCCCAAGGTACGATTTTACAATTGGTTCAGCTGTAAATGCAATAGGCATCCATTAAGAAACATGATACTGTCATGACCGTGGGTAAAAGGTGACTAATAAAATAAATAATGCTTGTAAAGCACCTACATATTTTCGAATTTGCATTGTGAGCAAAAATTAATAATATTACTTATCAGGAACCATGTCAGGAACATTAAAAATATTCCTCAAAATGACATTACCCATCTGACAGTAAATACACCAACTTCTGCCATTCTCTTTCTTTTTGCCAGTAAACAGAAAATATACATCAGGACCTTTAGCCGGTATATTTTCAACATAGTTATTGAACTCTTCGTAACTATTCAAATTGCAAACAGTAATTTTGTTTTTATTTCCCATTCTTGCAAAATTGCCATCCAAAATTGACAGTGTCTTGTCAATTTAATATCACAAACAAAAAAAAGTTCAGAAACTCATAGTTAAACAAACAGATGATCATATCATCATTCTTTTGAATCAAGTGGAAAAGTTTTCAGAGGATTTACAAATAAAATAGATTCGAATCTTTATTTGCACTAAGATTTTTGTTGAATAATCTTAGGTTCTTAATGGGTACTTATGAGCATAAGCATATAGCCTTACAACCAGTTAACAACTTGAGAAAGTTATTAAAAGAAGCCTTTTTGCTTAGTCACCGTACTCCTATCTATGAGAATTATTTACATACCTTCGACACAGTCAGGGCACCAACTATTTCCACTTGGTAATTTAGCACCGCTGAAGAAGAAAAACACAGGTGGTCCCTTTGGGTCTATGTTTTCCGTATATTTTGAAAAATCATCGAATCCCTTAATTTCCACGTAGGAAACCATTTTTGGCGAAATAAAATAAAAATCTCTTCTTCNCATCTCCATTAAAAATCTCGAGTTTCGCGATACGAGATAACCGGCTGTCTTTTTGACATTGACAGTTGACACTGACAGCTTGAATGAATACAGATTAAAAAAATATTCACCCCCAAATCACCCCAATTTACTGGAAGTATACCATCAAGTAAGCTGTATAGTTCTAATGATTCTTGCTACCTTACTTGCTACAAATGAAATTAAGAAAAACCAAATGCACAACAAATTGACAGATGCGACAGTTGACATGTTTGAATTTTGGATTCAATTTGAAATATTTTGAATGTTTATAATTCGTGAATTAATGTTACTTTTTGTGCTAGTTTTGGAGAGTATATTATTATGATGGAAACAGCAACGGCTAAAAAGCCAAAAACCATGGCAGAGCTCTTGCCTGGTTTGAGTGGTAAGTGTAATTTTTAGGTACTAATGTTTCAGTTTACAGTGGCTTTACAATCCAATTCTAAACTACTAAGTTTAATTTGAGGACTAAGAAATGACTACTTAAGCGTATAACATGAACCACGAACTGTATTTTAGGTATATTGTCTAAGGATGCGATGCAAACGCTAACCGCTAAGAAGCAACCACGGCCCACGATGGCAGCACAAAGTCGTACTGCTGAAAAAGTTCTAAAACCCCTGACTATCGCGGAAATGAGGGCTGATATTCAAGGTACTGGATTTAGATACCTAAATAAGTTTTGTAGTCTTGTAAAGTTCACTGTCCAGTGGCAAGGTGTTTAATGTTATTTAAATGTTTTAGCCCTAAAAATTCAGTCCCCAAGAAGATTTGCTCAAGGAGCTACATCAAACAAAAAGAAAAATTGGAACTCTTCAGTCAAAGTAGACAAGAAGGTCAGCCACACAGCAGATGGGCAGCTAAAGAATAATCCGGTCAGAAAAGTGCTCAATTTCCAACCAAAGACCAAGGTTTGAGTTTTTTGGAATTATTTTATTAGATGCTTGCTTTATTATTGTTAAAAACATTGTTAACTAAATATTTCCTCTACTTTTTAGGTAGTAGCTAATTCCAGAGTTACCATGCTTCCAATGAATCCTGAAACTCCAAAGTTTCCCAAGCCTGAATTCAGAGCCAAAAAATCTCTACATCTACAAGGTATCATTTCATTCTGTATTTATTAAAATTTTAAAAAGACTATTATCATAATTTAAATGTAGGAATACTAACACAAGAATTATTTACAGCTCATAATATTGTACGAATCAGTGGGATCTGTAACATACCAGAGACACCACTCGTAAACAAGCCACCAAAAAGTCGGATGACTCTTGCTAATAAGGAAAACATGTCCAATCGGGCCAATGTCCTCACCAAGAAAACATTAGCAACTCTGAAGCCAGTTGCCCGTCCGAGGCTGGTGGTTACTACTGTACCTGATACTCCACTTTCTAACGAGTCTTGGAAGTCAAGCTGTGATGCCAGCTTCTTGCAGAAAGAGAAAGAAATAAATGACATTGAAGAAAAAGTAAAAGCTGTTGCTGAAGAACAAACCTTGGAAAACATTGCTGAGGTGTCACCTCCGGTCTCTACACCATTCAAGGAATATAGAAACGTAAAAGAGTATTTCAACAATTCCAGTGAATTAGAGAACTCTGCTGTCTTCGATGACAACACTATTATGTGCTTCGATAAACCTACAGAGAATAAAGATAACAATAAGAGGGAAGAAAGTGTTATTGTCTCCCTCTGTGACCTACTCAACAAGGCCAAAGTAACAAATAATGACCAGACTAGCACTGAATTAGAAGACTTACTTGAAGTAGAGAAACAGACAGAGAACAATATTAAAATGATAGAAAATGGTATACAGACACTGAAAAATATTAAAGATTCTCAGCTGAAATCCTTGCAGTATGTAAGGAAATTGATTAATGAGAAAAGAAGTGGCAAAAAAGACTCTGAGAGTGATCATGACAAGACTTTAGTAAATGATGCCAAAGTTACACCTAAAATTATTAAGAAAGAGAGACTAAGCCCTGAAAAGAGTCCCATTCTTGGGAAGCCTTGTTCAGTAATCAAGTCACCTTTAAAATCACCGTCATACAAGATTCCTAAGAAAAATGTGTGCCTTAGGAAAAAAGTGTTTTACAAATCCATGCCAAATGTGTCAAATTCTATGCAAACACCAAATAAAGATCCTGAAAACAGAGCACTGAATATGTATATGAAAATGAAGCAACAAATGAATTTCTTGAACACACCTGTCGTAAAGCATAATAAGCCATCATATGTTCCCGATACACCGGCAGTTACATCTCATAATTTACAAATGCAACTAGACAAATTGTATGGAGGAAGCTAAGATTAATTAAGATAGTTTTATTATCAGAATTTATTAAAATTGTATTAAATTAATATAATTAAAATAATCATAATTGTTAAGCTTTATGCTGAATCAATTTGTGCATAGGGTTGTGCTACAGGTTGGCATAATTTTATTATTATAGTTAATTTTATTTGTTTACTTTGGACTCCTTATGATTTTTATTAAGTTATCCACTCTAACTACTAATGTACTAACAATGCCAATGCAATGTATTTCTGACTGTCTATCTATAGCCATAAGAGTTATATTCTGTTCTTGCTTTTATTGTAAATTAATAAAATAACTGTATATTAGACATTGATACTGTAAAAAAGGAATAAAGTTTAGAGATTTGTCAAAATGCTGTTGATTGTTTGTCAGTGTCAGAAGTATGTTACACTTCAGTCAGTTAGTTAGTGGTGGCGCTAGTATCGTAAAGTTAACCAAGAATTTTATTAACATAATTTTCTTCTGAGAAAGTAATCCATTGAAGTTATAACTACTGCAAAAGTTAAATTACCTTTTGGTTGTTATAATAATAAGATAATTATCATTATTACAGTAATGATTAATTACCAACTTGTTCGTGGGCTATTAGCCTATTAGTTCATATTTTGGCCACCACCAATGTGAAGTTAGTTTAAAGATAACCTAATTTAGTAGTAGTGGGCCTCACTGCTCAGTGCTCGTTTGATAAACAAATATCAGTCGGCCTTCTGTCGTGACCACGCAAATTGTTATCGTGAATTATTTACTGCTTTTTGCTGTACGAGTGGATGAGGTGTCATTAGAAAGACAAAAGTGCAAAAATGGCTTTATCTAAACCGATCATGTCGCTAATGGCATCATATTTACAGAATTTGTATTTACACCCAGTGAAAACGAAATCGATAACAAGGTAAGAATTTTACTAATATTGCGAGCCGTTTTAATTGTTTTTATGTGCTATTTATATAATAGCAAGCATGTAATTACCTACACTTATGTTTATACTGATACTGAGAAGCAAAACTGTAATGTAAATATTTTCTTAATATTATTTTGCAACTCTTTGTTATCATTACACATAGAACAAGATAGTGATATAATACTTATCTCATACTAACTGTACATCGAAGTTCATTTTCGATAATGTACTTTGACCTTTTAGTCATAAAACTGTTATTAGTAGGTAATTTAACTTGTTTGCCAGACCTACCAACTCGTATGCATTCTTTTCAGCCATAAATAAGTGAAAGGCATTCATATCATGTTGCTTTTGTCAATGGAACATCGAAATGTAACTCTTGTTTATAATGAGGATCAGTACTGTTGTAGAAAATTCAATAAAACTAGTATCTACGTTAATCTTTAAGACATAAGAAAGATATAACTTTTTGAATTATCCAAATCGGACCATTACTTACGAAGATATTAAGTAATAAACATAGGCCGTTTTTGCCGCTAAAAGTCAACGTACGCAGGGCTACGTGACGTCACTATATCCGAATCGAGCGCAGCCGGCGTACTATTGGGATGGAAAATATTTTTTTCCAGCTAAACTATCAGTTTTAGAAAAAAACTTTTAATAACATTTATTCATCAAAATAAAGTAACCTATAGACCAGTAATTTGTAAAAATAAGAATTGTGAAAAATAAGTATCGCTATGTCCAAAAACCACATTTTCATAGGATTCGATGCAATGCGGAGACGCGGTTGGGGTGAGTGTAACTTAATAATTGTTTGTATTGAACATAATAATACATAATATGATGCTAATNGAGAGATAATGTGAGAAAGAGATGGAATGTTATTTATACCTAATCGACTCTAATTGATTATTTTACAACATTTTCTGACTGTTAACGTTGCTAATCAATTCTAATTAATGATTTAGCGTATTTCCTTAGTTGACGTCGCTAACAATATAGGTACTTGTTTTTCCAACTTTAAAAGTAAAGCTGATCCTGCGTTATGTGAACGCACCGAGTCATGCTCTTGCAATAACGTAAACAAATATTAGAAGGATGTGCCACGTCATTACACGCTTTCGTTTGTAAATATCTGACGTCATCGAGTGACGTCATGTGTGTGATGAATGTTTATTTACTGCTGATGCTTGTTTAGGTTGTTTTGTGAAATATTTCCCCGAATCGTAAGAAAGGATTTTGTACAAATAGATGATAATGCTGTTTTATGAAAACTGCAGATAATCGTAGTTACTTAATAATAATACTTATCTCATACTAACTGTACATCGAAGTTCATTTTCGGTAATGTACTTTGACCTTTTAGTCATAAAAGTATTATTAGCTTAACAAGTTAGGTAATTTAACTTGGTTGCCAGACCTACCAACTCGTATGCATTCTTTTCAGCCATAAATAAGTGAAAGGTATTCATATCATGTTGCTTTAGTCAATGGAACATTGAAATGTAACTCTTGTTTATAATTGGTAGTTATTATAACAATGTCGAACATGACACTGCTTTATGCTAACTTAAAATAACAGCTACCCTGAAATTTATCGAACAGTATACTTATAAAGTATTTGTTTATTTATTTTATGAGTTGGTACTTAGTTGTTACTTTGAATACAAAATTTCTGTCATTTTTTATTCGACTTAAGATAATTAACTTTTTAAAAAAATAAAACCGACTTCAAATGCGTGAACACAAAAAAAAAACTAAAAATTAAAAAAATTGCGTATAAAAAAGTTCATCCCCAATTTTCCACCCTTGGGGGTGAAATATTTTCTTCAAATTCGCATGAAACCACCCTTTTGATAATACCTATTCAACAAAAAAATAATCGTTCAAATTGATTTATAATCGGCGAAGATATTGCGTATAAAACGTTCATCCCCAATTTTCCTCCCTTGGGGGTTGTTTTTTCTATTATTAAATTTAAATGGGACCACCCTTGAGATATTACCTATACGCCGAAAAAAGATTTGTTCAAATCGGTTCATAATTGGCGGAGTTATCGCGTAACAAACATAGAAAAAAAAACATACGGGTCGAATTGAGAACCTCCTCCTTTTTGAAGTCGGTTGAAAACATGGAAAATTTCTTGATTTTTTACCTGACTGCGCCAGAAGGAGGGTTATGTTTTTAACGAATAGTTTTCGCCTGCTGCCTGACTCGCCTGTATTTCAGCCTGTCACTATATTATCACGAAAGAAAAATAATTATCTCGCTTGCATCCCCCCTTCAAAAACTAGAATAAAAACCTGTGTTTTTTTCCTTGGTTTCAATCAATATTTTATCTAAATCAATTCAGCTCTTTAAGCTTGAAAAGGTAAAGACAGAGAGCTACTTTCGCATTTATAATATCAATATGGATGAATTGAATTTGAGACAGAACTAAGTAGCATTAAATCCCCCATCTAGTTCAGTCAGCTGCCATATTACTATTATAACTAAATGGTTTCTTGTAATCCAAACCGCAAAGAGAAGCCAGTGGCATTTGCTATACAATATTAAGGTGAGTATAGACTAGAGCAGGGTTTCCCAAACTATGGGTGGCGACCTAGTGGTGTCGCGAGCATACATTGAGTGGGCCCTGCCTGTAGAACGACAAACCACCCTACAAATCCGAGTCCTTTATTTAGGCATATTGGTAATTTCCTATAGGTGGGTCCCGAGTTTGGAAACTTGTATTAGATGAGTCGTAGCCCAGACAACTTTGGGAACCACTGGACTAGAGCATGTANTTCAACTGCGGAAGCAGAGTATGTCGCCGCCGCTATGACTGTGAGCGAGCTATTATTTGTGAGGGGACTTGCAATCGATTTTCAAGACAAAAGTGATGCAGTGTTATATGTGGACAATCAAAGTGCGATTAAAATGGTGATGAACAGTGAAAACACTCGACATTCGAAGCACATAGACATTAAATTTCATTTCGTGAAAGACATAGTTTGTAATAATATTGTAAGTGTCAAATATGTAAGTACAAACGAAAATACGTCAGATATTTTGACTAAATCACTGTGTAATATCAAGTTCAGTTATTTTCGTGAGAAGTTATTAGTTTTGTAGTGATTTCATTTAAAGTTTTGTTTACATTAATAGAACAGTGTGAAGTGAGTTGTGTGTCACTAGTTGTCATTAATGTCAGTTTCTGAAATGTCAAATTCTTTTTTTAATGTTGCCATACTAAAACATAAGTGGAATATTGTTATTAGAAGTTTTTATTAGTAGATAAAAATTATTTTGTTTTGCAATTAAAAGTTAAAGCCTAACTTGTAATTGAGAGGGAGTGTTAGGATTATATTATCTTTGGAAGTGTATTAAATATTAAAAAGTTAACTGTTTCCGGTAGAACGCTCTTCCCTCTTCCGGCTATGTACGAACAAGATGTGTCTGTGTAAGAACCCGAATAATAAATGCTTATCTCGCTAACTATCGGTCTTTTCATTAAAGAAACACAAGTTCTGATAGTTTAGAGGTATACATGCCATAGTAAGTTTGGTTTATTAAACTATTTTGTAATCAAAAAACAAAGTTTGGTCGATGGCCGCGCGAAAAAAAAAAAGACGCCACTTTCCATACAAAATCTGGCATTGCCATTTATATGACACAGTATACCTATAAAGTATTTGTTTATTTATTTTATGAGTTGGTACTTAGTTGTTACTTTGAATACCTACTTGTTTTCTGTCATATTTTATTCGACTTTCGAAAATGCCTAGCCAAATGTTTTGAAGTCAACAGTATTCAAGTTTGGATACTATTTTAATATTATTTAATAAACCGTGCTCAAAAAGTATGTAATGTTTTCAGTTGCGTCGTGGGCACGACAGCATGCGTGGCCTCCCAGCTGATGGCCGGCGATTCCCTCAAGCTAGACCCGATTCTGGCCTATGGTTTATATGGGTAAGTTGTACTTCCAAAACTAGCTCTTGTATTCAAGTAGGTAGTACTTAAATACAAGTAATTAACTTTTAATTTGATGAACTCTTACCAAGCTCATTAGGCAATAACCAGACTATGTTGGTATTACGCCCGGGTATCGCTTAAGGTGAGTATAGACTAGACTCTAGCTATGTAATGTAAAGTTCTTGCGAAAGGTACAAGAGGTATAAAAAATACGACATTTGGTTCGTGACACTAAACATTTCATAAGGCGTCTGACGTCTCGTTGTTCTGTTACAAGTAAATGCTCTAGCCTCTACTCACCTTGAAGTATTCTGGCCCACCCTTCGCGCATCGGCATGAGACTGTTTTTCGTATCTACTTTTCATGTCAATTACTGCACTTGTCTAAAAGAGCATGTAACGTATGCAAACACGTGCATAGTTTTATTTTACGTGCTATCAGAGTAAATGCAAATGAGTAAGTCATCTTCTCTTACTCTGGTGCTATTTATAACGCTTGTACATGTTTTGTCTCATCGAGCCGCTCGCCGAATATAGGCATAAAAATTTAATATCCATTGACAGTTATATTGCGGCACAACATTAATGGCATTGTCATTTCAGATTACTATTCGGCGGATCCATACCACACTATTTCTATGAAGTAATAGAGAGGATATTCCCCGAGGAAGTGGTAGCGTTTCCATTAGCAAAGAAGCTGCTCTTCGAACGGTTAATCTTCGCTCCAGTGATGCAAGCGTTCTCACTTTACACGCTAGCGCGGTTCGAGGGAAAGAATCACGCGGCGGCAGTGAAGCAGTTAATGGCTCTGTACTTGCCTGTACTGCAAGCCAACTGGAAGTGGCTGACTCTGTTCCAGATCATCAACTTGGCGTTTGTACCTCCTATGGTAAGTATAAATTATACTTTCTTACTATGTACTTGTTTCAAATGTAAGAACGAACTTTTATCTGTGTGTAAAGTTACTCTTTATCGTAGTATGTAAAAATAAATTGTATACTAATCTGATTATTTTGTAAGCAAAGAAAAGCTGAATTTACGATCTCTTTTAGTAATAATTATTTAACTGTTTGTAATAAGTATGTTGTAACGCTTTAAATCATTTACTATCAACATTTTTATGTAGGCGTTAAATCATGCGTAACAGTTGCATAGTAAAAGTAGCTCTTATTTCGTACAAGATAAGGCTTTTTTGTAAAAAAAAATGTTTTTTCTCATTTATTAACTTACTTCGTTTTTTGTTTCAGTTAAGAGTTCTCTTCATGAACTTCGTTGGATTGGGCTGGGCCATATTCCTAGCAAATAAGAGGCGTCAAAGCCAGAAGAAAGAATAAAATAAATTTCGCCCAAGGAAAAACGCGAAGCATTTTTTGGGAACATAACGATCGAGGTGCTGGTAGTATATTGTGGTAACTGAACGAATTTTATCTTATTTTAAGTTACCCTTAAGGGGCAGTGACAATATTACACAATATTTTGAACCTAATAACGGGCCGTTTAGGGTCCCACCCTACCATATAAGGGTGAAGGAAGGTAAACACTAAACACATTCCTAATACTTAAGTCACTATGGTTGTAAATAGGTAGTACTTTATAAGTGTTAAATTTTTACTTAAGTATATTTATATTGCAATATTTTTGTATGTATAATCTAAGGTTTTAATAAAACATTTAATGCATTTGTATTACTTACTTTATTTTACAACAGCAATGTATTCCCAATTATTTACTTTCTAAATATTTTTTTAAGAAGTCTTTATAACTTTATGCCTATTTTTCTATGATCAAATCAGCAAAATCAATTCATCCAGTTAATGGTGCTCGAGGGAAGCTTTTATATTATACAAACATCTATACATTTAATTGAAGGTGTATAATAAAACTGTTATTCGTATTTGTATGACTATTATTCAATATTATCATTGTTTCACATTCCACTTATTGCTTACGGTTAAATATTTTTCACATTTTTAATACACTAAAGAATTCGCTGATAATTTTATACGCGTTACGTCACAAGATGTGTATATAATAAATAGAGTCTACATGACTAGAAAACTTAAAAATTTAGTGTAAATAGTAGCTGTCAATAAATATATTGCACTTTTAGCCTAAGAGTATTTAATTATATAAGACTAGATCTGGAATATTTATTTTTGACTAGGTATCCGTAAAATTAAATGTACAAATAAATTAGCAATTATAACATCAAATAAAAACAACCAAAACATTACAAAAATAATGTTTTGTTAATTCACATTAAATATTTTGACTAGGAGTTGAGTATTTTGAATTAATATAAATAAATTAAAAATATGTAATATAATTTGGCCCTTGCGAGTTGCATTTTGACCTTTGACTTAACATTGGAGCGATATCTACCACTACTACTCTGATATCAGTCCGAAATTCGAGTTATCGCGAGATATATTGTTATGTATGATTTATCAGTAAATAAAAACTAAATTATCGTTGAGTAATCCTTTGTGACAAGATTACACAATTACGTAACTGCACCATTCTTCGTTGGGTGCCAAGATAAAAATTTCTAAGTAGTAAAATGAAGTATCTGGTAAACTCTTAACTATTATTGAAGTAATCCTATGGATTGCAAAGAGACCAGGTACGCGAATCGTGATAACCTTATACATTATTCTACATATCCATTTTTATATCTAGACTGATGAAGCTTATCAAATCATTCCATAGCTGATTATCAGCAAATGATTCATGTCGTAAATGCTGTTAAATGTTTCCAATTATTGTAATATTGTCGACCACTTACGAATTTACATTTCAGACAATTAATTTATTGTCTACGTACTCCATCTTTGAAAATAACTTGGTAACAAAAATATAAAGTTTCGCAAGCAGTCACAAATAAACAATTTTAGTAAACAACAGGTATTATGGGCTGGCGTTATATGCGCGAACTTTTGGTGGTACGTTGGTACGCCTTGTATCACGCGAGTGTCTTTTATTTTTTGCCCAAAAAGCCGAATTTTATCCAAAGTTTAATCCTGATGTTTCCTATAGCTCCAGACACCTTTGTATCTTAGTGCAAATTAATTCATCTAGTATCTACAATACGGTTAATTTGATAGCGACCGTCGCCTGAACACTAGCAGGGCTATTTGAATACTGTTACCTACAGAGTCGGACTGCCCCCTTACAGTTAGTATGTTTAGTACATTAGTATCCAATCTTTTATTAGAATTAGTGTAGAGCCATTCGGACCAGTCCGACTGGTTACCCATCATTGATGTTATTTTACATTCGAGATTCTGGGGCCTGTTACTTCGGGATGATGGCAGCTGACGTCACCAGGAGTCCGACCCAGTTGCTGACGTCACCAGGAGTCCGGCCCAGTTGCTGACGTCACCCGGAGTCCGGCCCAGTTGCTGACGTCACCCGGAGCTCGGCCCAGTCGCTGACGGCTGCAGTTACTCTCTTTCTGGCTTGGGAGATCGTGACCAGCTGCGCTGCGAGGAGCGGCTGCTGTAGTAGCTCCCGGTCGAAGCCGTGGAAGGCGTGGGCCGCCGGTAAGGGATCGGCCGCTTCCTAGCGCTGTTGTGTTATTTGTGTTAGTAAACATGCTGGACAGTTAGACAGTTATACTTTCCATGCAAAAAGACATTCTAGATAGGTAATGATTTAAGGTGAAGTTACTGTTTATAGATGATAGTGCTGGCTTGCTCTGAGGCAGCTTGGAAATGTACGATTATTATTTATATTGTTAGTGCATAATGAGTTTTTAATGAGTGCAGATAAAATAATTTAGTGATTGTAGATAATTAAGTAGAACTTACCTCACAAGCCTTTGCAACTTATTTATTTGTCCTAGCTTGCCTTTTAATTAAAAAACAAAATGTTGAAAGAACGGTCTACTAAAATTATATAGCTCTATCTACCATGCGGCATAGCAAAATAAAAAACAGCTAAGATTTACAATAAACTTTAATGTGATAAAACAAACTAAATAATATAAGATTGAAACAGAAAACACACTTGCAAAAATAATGTCCATAAATAGCACAAGGTCTACAACTGGCGTCATGGAGCGCATATGACGTCCTGGGAACTGATAGCTGGCTAGGGCTTTCATCTTCTTCTATACTTGTATTTATTTGTAGTAAGATCTATTATGGGTGCGCTACGGAGAAAAAATAATTTATTAATCGTCTTTGAACATCCAAATCCAAATTCATCCCCATCAGCAAAAATAGAAATCACTACATCGTGAAAACAAGTCGCTCGAATTATTTATACATAGATTAAGACTAAAAATAGCACACCCATGTTAAGATTCAAAGCAAACAGTTAGTTTTACACACAACAAACTCCATTTACATTTTTACATAATTTAAACCTACAAGAATTAATTCCATCACAGCCAATGAATTTTCTGTTTTTCATACAAATATTAATCCTTGAATATAATTAATCAATTTGTATAACACATCAGCATTGTGAATTCGTTAAAAAAAAAATGAAATTTTGGTTATTTGAAATTATGTCTTAGTCGAACGATAAGGAATACAAATTATAATCTTAGGCTAAGGTTATTGAACTAGCAGAATCACTGCGCACTAATCGGAGCTACTACTCGTGTCTTCAGAACTCGTGCTATACTTTCGTTTTCTATAAAGAAAAACAGAAAACAAATACATAAACTGAAAGAAATAACACCATGATGAATTTACCATGTTACGAATACTTTGTTAGCCTTACTAGAGTAATAGTTCAACAATGAAAGGTCTCGTCTCTTATTTAAATTTGGTCGCTAAAGATATTCGTAACATGGCGTAATATGCAAAATAAAATAAGAAGCATAAATTAAAGTTAAAAAGCGACACACACAAATTATTTAACACCTGGCAAACTTCGATTATTGTGATTTTTATTTATATTACTGAAATTATAAATAAAAATCGCATACACCAATAAAATGCATTCCCTAATTAGTGCCAAACTATACAGTGCTTAGGAGAGGGGAACACACGAGCTTCATCTTTACTATCAAACAAAAACGTCTAAAACGTTATGGAAATAATTTTATAATCGTGAAATAGAATCCCTCAAACTAAATAAACACGAGGCGTGGAAAAATTTAGGTGGAGCAGAGACTAATTTAGTATTTTTCAAGCACATTTTTCAAAAGGGAAGGGATCACAAAGAGAAGATGATAGATTTGTGTAAAAAAAGTCTAAACTGGACTAAACCGGTTAAAAAATTATGAAGTCTTCTAAAACAAGGAGAAAGAAATAAACCAGTAGCCCAAGATGCGTGCTACTAAAATCATCGTCGATTTTAGACGATGAATGTATAATCGTTTAAAATCGATAAAATGATAATGCAGCAGAACGCCCTATTAGCTATTACTATTACTACCTATTACCACAGATAATATAATACTAGTACAGATGCATCATCCCATACTCGAAATGTGGCCGACCTAAGTCTTGAAACTGCTCGGGCCCGCGTGGTTTCCTAGTGGTGATAACAGATCGCGCTAGTGTGCCGCAGCGGACTTGACCGTCCCGCGGTTTGCGACCCGCTAATGCTTTCTATTCTAGCAACTTGAGCGGAGTATTTATTTGGCGTGCTATATCAAAAGATGGCGCTAAAGCCAATAAGTTTACTGCTTTGTTTATGAAGGCATGTAACTAAGCAAAAAACAGATTAGAGACGCTATTGAAAATTTCGACACGGTATAATAATGTCCAAGTAGCACAACGATCACAGCCGACGCTCAATATCCAGCACCGTGGGTTCGTATCCCGCTACAAATTATCATCATGAAACTCCATTTTGTTTTATTTTATTAGGTACTAGCTTTCCGCCCGCGGCTTCGCGCGCGTGGACTACATTATCTACATATTTTACGGAACCCTATTTTTTACCAAAATAAAATTTAGCCTATGTTACTCGTGGATAATGTAGCTTTCGAATGGTGAAAGAATTTTTAAAAACAGTTCAGTAGTTTTTGAGCCTATTCATTACAACCAAACAAACAAACAAAGTTTTCCTCTTTATAATATTAGTGTAGATATAAAACAGGAAAATATCGAAACATGCAGTAATAAAGGTGGATACCTATCAANAAACCTATTTTAGTATTTTTATAAGTGACGAAATAAAACAGCAGCGATGAGCGCCATCTATTACATCATTTGTAACTAAATGCTACTTCGACAGCGCCGCAAAAACGATTGCTTAAGACTTCAGTTTTTACTAAAGATAAAATTTTATTATATGAAGAAATATTGTTTATTTGAATCATTCACTGTGTTTAAATGAACAAATTAATGTGTAAAACATTTTTTCATTATAGTTTACTGAGCATTAGTGACTTTTTACAAACGTCTTCAGAAATTCGATACTTATGTCGCCATCTAGTGAGATTGATTTGGAATGATTCAAGATTTAAAGGCATCGGGTTCCCGTGCTATTACTAAGCACAGAATACACAAGTCTCTGCTCCCCCTAAACACCAAACTCGTCTAAAGGTGCGCATCCACTACACACACATCTACCTCGTGATGCGGCGACGGTCGAGGAACGACGGCGATCCGGCGCGCCGCGGGATAGACGGCGATCGCGAGCGCGGGCGCGTGTCGCTGGATCTACGGTAATCGGCGTACACGCCCGTCATTGTTCTACTCGCATTATCGCATGCACATCGTATCGCAATCGCATGCATTCGTTTGTAAGAAAGAGAAAGATTGTGTTAATTCACGCGGGTTTGTGTGCGTCGACTTTTGCGGTTTGTATACAGGGTGGTAGAAACAGGTTGACAAGAATCGTTATAAATGTAAAATGAAACACATATTATCTAAATGTGTATTTTACGGGAAGAAATTTCACAGATTTTCTACTGAAATACTGAAAAGCATCATTTGAACTTGCTAGTTAAAGTTTGTGACAACCTGTCTCTAACATCCATATTTTTATATTCACTTTATTATAACGAAAAACTGCATAAAGGAACACAATTGTGTTTTATCTATAAACAGCAGTTTTCTTTGAAAATGTAAAGTTTTTAAAACTGATATATTTTTCCATCAATCCTACTTCATAAAAATGTACGTCAAGTAACAAAATTGTATTAATTAGGTACATTCCGACAATTATTTTGTAATTTAAAATAAGGATTCATTTAACTTATACTTAATAATTTGCCAATTCCAACCCAGCGAGTCTGCATCGACTGAATATTTCATCTTGAAATACACTGAAGAAAATAAATAAATGTTCTAATATCCATGTCATTTGCCAATCAATAAAATCGTTACAAATTACTTTCAATTAAAACCGAAACCATGAAGACTCGTAATTGGCTTTTAACCTGAGATTTTCAATCAATTTTGCAAATAAAGAAAATCGATACATTTCTTTCTCACTTTAACAAATAAAATGTACTAAAAATCTTGATCAACACACTTCTATAAAAAAAACATTGAAAATCTCAGATTCATACTAAATTCAACCCAAAACCCATGAGCAAAGAGTGCAAATTACCGTGAGGAGCGCGTGGAGCGCGACGAGCTGCGCGAAGAGCGAGACGAACTGCGGCTGCTGTACGAGCTGGAGCGAGACGAACGCGAGCGCCTGGGGAACAAACGTTATTATTGTTGATTTCACATTCTCATTAGTTTTGAAAGAAAAGAGAGGGTGAATTTTTGAATGTGCTAAGTCAAATCAGAAATTATTAAGAAATTGCTAAAAATAATAATAATAATTTACATTGTAAAAAAATATTTAAAATTAAGAACCAAAGTTAATAAAGAGAATAATAATAAAATACACTTTATTGCACACCAAAGATAAGAACAGAAAGAAAACTGCCGAGAGAACACACAAGGTACAACTAGGCGGTCTTATCGCTATGAAGCGATCTCTTCCAGACAACCTATGGTGAGGACAGTTACTTAAAAAAATATGAAGGGGAAGGCGGTGTCGACACTAAAGAAATAAATGAAAACAAAATATTTTAATAGAGCTAAAAAGTTTCAAATTAAAACTTTGTTGTTAAATTTTAATACGCTATCCGGGAAGCAAATCTGAAAATATTGAAACAAAAACAGTCAAGTGTTTCGGTAATAGGGACCGCATTCTGTGTCGTATATTGGCGATAACGCGATTAATCAGTAGAACTAGCTTTCTATCGTTTAATCATTTATCATCTCGTTAGTTATTATTTTATGGTTGTGCTTAGTGTTTACATCAAATGTCCTCACCAGTGAGCGCGTAAAAAATGACATTAAATGTATGACGGATTGTACAGCGCCCCTAGCGGAAATTTTCAAGAACTAACATTTTCATATATTTTTTAACGCGCTCACTATTTTCGCGTTTGATGTAAACTCACACTCAGCCCTCAGAAATGTTACTTATAGCCTGACCAGGAACATAAAAACCCTGGCATAGTGGCGCGTCAATTGCATTTGATAGTGCAACACTGAGTACAGTCGTACCTGTGTTAAATTAATAGGCTAACTTTATACAACGTGTCCCAAAATTCAAGGATAAGCCGGCGCCGCAGGATGGACATAGTCACGACTACTTTAGGAAAAATAAGGAAAAAAATCTATCTCAATTATTTTTTAAGTTACACAATAAATTGCGAAATTCTTCGAAAATTGACACCCCTTATGATATTTTACATTACCACGACCGCCATTTTTCAAATATTTCTGTTTTTTTGTTTGTATCGGCAACTTAAGTAGTGTTGCTGTCCACCCTAACTCTTAAAACCCCCAGAATCCTTGCAGTTTTTACACAAAAGTTAATCAAAATATGTTATTTCCTTAAAATTTTGAACGATTTTTACTTTCAATCCACTTTGACTCATCGATTTGTAAAAAAAAAGTATGAACACTACTGCGGCAAGTTTTTTATAAAGTTGACACAACTATCCAAGATTCCAAAATGGTATAATGCTTTAAGAAACCTAGTCGCAAAAAAGATATGCGTACCATTTTTACAAGCACTTCGCTTGTTAGTTAGTATGGGATAAATCTTGCAACTGAATTTAAAACCAGTTCTCCTCAACCGATTGGGCTGAAATTTGGTATACTTATTTAAGTATGATGAAAATGCAATATTATGGTACCATTGAGCTGAATGGAGACTGGAGGTGGCCATAGGAACTTCTAAACGAAACGGCGGAATTGCATCTAGTTTGGGTTTGTTGGATTTGTCTTTTCGAGTACTTTAGTGCTAGATGATGTCCAGGGTCCTGATGATGAAGTCAATTATAATTTTCAAACGAAGTCAAGCTTGTTTTTAAAAAGGTTTTTTTTTATTAAGTACAACTTTATTTTAAACTTTTTAGTTGTTTCTCAATCTCATGGCCCAAGTGCTCGGGAAGGCAAATCCAACGAACCCAAACTCGATAAGCTTCCGCCGTTTCGTTTAGGAGTTCCTATGGCCAGCTCCTGCCACCTCTTGACTTCATCATCAGGACCCTGGACATCATCTAGCACTAAAGTGCTCGAAAAGACAAGTCCAACGAACCCAAACTAGATGCAATTCCGCCGTTTGGTTAAGAGTTCCTATGGCCACTTCCAGACTCCATCCAGCTCAATGGTACCTTAATATTGCATTGTCATCGTACTTACATAAGTATACCAAATTTCAGCTCAATTGCTTATGGAGAACTGGTTTTAAATTCAGTTGCAAGATTTATCCCATACTAACTAACAAGCGAAGTGCTTGTAAAAATGGTACGCATATCTTTTTTGCGAATAGGTTTCTTAGAGTATTATACCATTTTGGAATCTTGGATAGTTGCGTCAACTTTATAAACAACTTGCCGCAGTAGTGTTCATACTTTTTTTTTACAAAACGATGAGTCAAAGTGGAGTGAAAGTAAAAATCGTTGAAAATTTTAAGGAAATAACATATTTTGATTAAGTTTTGTGTAAAAACTGCAAGGATTCTGGGGGTTTTAAGAGTTGGGGTGGACAGCAGCACTACTTAAGCTGCCGATATAAAAAGAAAAACAGAATTATTTGAAAAATTGTGGTCGTGGTAATGTAAAATATCATAAAGGGTGTCAATTTTCGTCGAATTTCATAATTTATTGTGTAAGTTAAAAAATAATTGAGATAGATTATTTTCCTTATTTTTCCTAAAGTAGTCATGACTATGTCCATCCTGTGGCGTCGGCTTATCCTTGAATTTTGGGACACGTTGTATGTATCAGGATTCAGGATTACGGGTTAATTTAATATTTTCATGAATTAACGAAAACATATTATTATAGGTAACCTGGTTTAAATAAATTAAATGAAACCATCAATCGAGCTAGTAGGATTTATTTTATTATTCATCAATAATCAAATTCAGAACTTGAATATTCAACTGCAATGTCTGCTCATGAACGCTTCAGACTCGGTACTTCTTTCCCAATTCCATAAAATTCAACACTTAGAAAGTGACAAAATTTTTTAAAATAGTTAGNCCGATCACAGACGATTGTCAACAAAATGGTGCTTGACTCTTGAGACAGGCTAAATTACACCATATTGTTAATGAGCATACATTTTTTTTAAATACCTTCGCGAAGTAAAACTTCTGTACGTAGTACTTATTATTATTCTGTGGTAGAACTAGCTTACTGTCGTTTAATCATTTAGCATCTCGTTAGTTATTTTATGGTGCTGAGGGCTTAGTGAGAGTTTACATCAAAAGTCCTCACCAGTGAGCGCGTAAAAAATGTCATTAAATGTATGACGGATTGTACAGCGCCCCTAGCAGAAACTTTCAAGAACTAAAATTTTCATATATTTTTTAACGCGCTCACTAGTGAGGACGTTCGATGTAAACTCACACTCAGCCCTCAGAAGACTTGTTACTTGCATATTTTTATATGATAAAAATTGCCTTTATAAGACTTGAAACAAATTTAAAAAAAAAAAAACTCTTAAAACTCATTTATTTTTGCAAATAGACCTTTAAAAAGAACTTTTACACGTCCCAATATTAACCCTACCACTGCTTCGGGACAATAAATGGGCCAGTGCTAATTTATTTTAGTCACCTTGTATTAAAATGTATAGTATTGACAACACCCACTCACCTGGACGACGAATACGATCGGGAGCGTGACCGCGACGAGCGGGACCTGGATCGTGATCGTGACCGCGAACGCGACCGCGACCGGGACCGCGACCGCGACGTCCAGCTGCCTCGCGAGCGGCTGCGCCTGCGCCGCCTCTCCGGAGAACTTTCTGTAGGCCGGGTGCTTCGCCCCGACTTGGGGGAACCTTTAGCAGGGCTCCGCGGTCTCTCTTCCTCCCTTCTGTTGCTGCCCTCCCTTCTGCTACCTTCCTCCCTTTTACTACCCTCCTCCCTTCTACTACTCTCCTCCCTTCTACCACTACTCTCCCCAGTAGTTGGATTCCTCGGAGCGCTGGAACTCCGCCCCGCTTGCGACGTCGACGGCTCAGACATTTCTGTCAACATCCCGCTCGCCATCTTGGCTAATTTTTCCTTCAACTTATTCATCTCTCGTAATTCGAACTGGTCCTGACGAGCCCGTTCGTCGACGCCCAGGAAATCTTCTTCTTCAGACACCTCGTTGTCGCTGCACGAACTCCTCAGGCATACTGCTTTCGGTTTGTAGTTGGATTTGTCGCCCTTTTTCCTCTTCTTTGGATCTAAATCGGACGGCGATTTGATATACTTTCGCTTGTCCTTTTCGGGCAATCTTTCGATGATGTCTCGGTAGCGCTCGGGGCTCCTTCGGGCGGGTGAGTAACTGAGACTCGACGTGCTTCGACTCTTCTGCACAGATCGGGAGCGCGATTTCTTCTTCTTTTTCTTTGATTCGGAGCGATCGTCGTCTAGTTCTTCGTGGCGATTATCCCGCCTGTCGACGCTTCTATCTCTCGCTTCCCTATCGCTGACGTCGGGCTTCGGCGAAGCCGTCCGCGCGTCTGGCGATTTTCTCGCTTTAGACGTACTCGCGGTCTCAACTTTCAGTTTATCCTTTTTAGCTGACTTTCTCGCGGGCGATGTGGATCGCGACCGGCTCGGCGACGGCCTGCGTCGAGCCACTTTTACTTCGGGAGACGGAGACCTTTTCCTGGATCGACTATCCTGATGGTTTTCAACGACTCTCGGTTTTTCAGCTTGTCTGTGTTTATCCTGTCGGCTAGTGGAAGGCGACGGGCTTCGTCTCCTGGGTTCCGGTGACGGACTCCTTCGCTTCTGCTCCTCGGGCTCGCGGGAAGCGCTTCTGTCTTTGTAATACTTGGATTTCTTAACTATCTCCGACCTCGGCTTACGCTCCGGCTCAGATTCGGACTCGGACGACTCCTTCCTGTCGGGCCGCGACTTTCTGTACGGTAGGTCTACGTCCTTGCGAGATTCTTTATTCCTGTAGTTTTTGTTTACCGGAGATCGCTCCTTGTATTCCGGCGACGATTCTCTGTCACGTCTGTCTTCTACTGGGCTTCGATTCCGCCGACTTCGCGAAAATTCGCCGTTTTCTTCTCTATCTCTGCGTCGCGGCGGTTCTTCTTCGTATCTCTCTCTGTCTCTCTTTTTCTTGTATTTGTCATCTCTGTCAGTTCTGTACTCTTTGTCCCTGGAGTCCTCCCGCCGGCTCCTGTGGCGGGGAGACTCGCTCCTCCGCGGGTCCCGGCTGCTTTCGCGCGGGGAACAGTTTCGGTAAGACCGTTCTACATCTTTGCGAGGCTCCTTACTCCTGTAGTTTTTATTCACCGGAGATCGCTCCTTGTACTCGGGCGAGGAGTCCCTGTCGCGTCGGTCTTGGTCCGGGCTTCGATTTTTCCGGTTTCGGGAGGGTTCGCCGTTTTCTTCTCTGTCTCTGCGGCGGGGCGGTTCATCGTCGTATCTCTCCCTGTCTCTCTTTTTCTTTTTCTCGTATTTATCGTCTCTCTCTGTTCGGTATTTGTCGTCTCTCTCTGTTCTGTATTCTTTGTCCCGGGAGTCTTCCCGGCGGCGGTGGTGTCGCGGGGATTCGCTTCGGCGCGGGTCCCGGTGTCGCGGGGAGTCGCTTCGGCGCAGGTCCCGGGCGTCCCGCGGGGCACTGTCCCGATGGTTCCTGCTGTAGCTCGGGACAGGCTCCTTGGCCTTGTTGTAGTAGGTGTCGCTCCGCTCGTAGTCAAGCGAGGGGCTCCTGCGGCGTCTCTTCTCCGGCGGTTGAGATACACTCCTCTCTCTGTCGTGGGGTCGTTTGTCTCTCTTCTCGGATCTGTTCTTGTGGGGTGGTTCGGGTTCAGATTCGGAACTGAAAACAAAATATTGTATACAGTTTTCTTATTTATGCTTTAAATATGCTTAAATATTACACGTGTAGCCAGTAGGACACGTTTCGTAATATTTTTACATTATCGTATGTTTTTGTGGCCATGGATATTTCGTACTATTAAAATGTTAAAAGGATAGCCTTGGTTCAATATAACCATTAATTTAAAAACTAGTCGAAACATCTGGCTAAAGAATGGCAATAAAGGGGTGTTTATACAACTGTTGCTGTTTAAATAACTTTCTTAAGATTTACACACACAATTAGTTTTGTTTTCATTAAAGAATTGAATAATGAGACAGTGTGTTTTTAAGTCGAATGTAGGCTATGATGACGATCGGTTTTTAAATAATAAAAAATGCGTCATACTTTATGTTTGCTGAAACATCCTGTTTTGAATGTTACAAAATCAGTCAATATATTCAACGTGACCCACAACGTGTTTAATATAAATAATAGATTCGGATGAATTTAAAAGCTTTTTTCTTTACTCTTTTATACGGGAATGATAAGTGTGTAATATGTATTGTAATGTAAAAACGAACGAACGAAGAAACGAACCAAAGTCGCTGACATAGCCCGACGGATTAGCAAGCTGAAGTGGCAATGGGCAGGGCACATAGTACGCAGAACTGACGGCCGATGGGGCAGAAAGGTTCTGGAATGGAGGCCGCGTACCGGAAAACGCAGCGTGGAACGTCCACCTACAAGGTGGACCGACGACATCGTAAAGGTAGCAGAGAAGCGCTAGACGCAGGCCGCTATCAATCGATCAACATGGAAAGCATTGGGGGAGGTCTATGTTCAGCAGTGGACGTCCTATGGCTGGAATGATGAATGTAAAAACAAGCTTGTTATACGCACCTGTCCCGACTGGACCCGTCGCTGCCGCCCCGTCGTCTGCCACTCGACTTTTTCTGTTCAAACGTCAACAGTTCAATTTAAACACCTCGGTCTTCCAAAGCCATATTAAAACACCAGTGCCAATACAAGAGACTATAGTGGTAAAGGCAACTAAACATGTTTACTAAAAATACACGAAATCCTTCAGAGACAAGCTTTTGTATTCATTCAACATCCGCAGTCCCCGTGAAGAACTTCTAAACATAATAGCACTTGTACACATGCACTATAAATTAAGAATAATATGAAATTAAAAAGGCGTTAAATCAATACAAAACTGTTAACGAGTATAAGAAATGAAGATTTAAGCTATAAATGGAAGCAATATAAATAATGATATAGAAAACTTTGACAGCACGATGATTTGATCACGTGTCAGAATGTTATATTATTAGATTAGACTATCCATAACATTCTCATTTTAGTTCAATGTATAAATAAATAAATACATACAATAATTGAACATAAAATAAGGAACAGTGAACTTATATTGTTGGCACCAGTGTGACAGTTTACATACATTGCTATTAACACATTACGATATCGATATATTTCATGATACATGTTAAATAGATATAATAATACACAAAAATCAAATGTAATATAACACTTGGGAAACGTACCTTATTTAACAAACGGTGGTGGTATACCATTTAAACATGTGGAGCATCCTTAATTAGTCAATGAGAAGAGGGAGAATGTTATGGATTAGTGACATTTCAACAGTTGCATGGGCCGGCGCTCCACCGCGTGTGGTAAGGAAACGTGCGCCGGCGTTGACTCATTGACTAGTAGGTACTGCCCATCTTGTGCCCTAGCGCACGATTCAAACCATAAATGGAATTTAAAGGGATTGCAGCACGTTTCTCTAACACACATCAGTGAACTTGCGACCAAGAGCATATTAAACCACCATCTGTTTTAAGGACTACAAACACCATGCAAGTAAATAACTGTGCACACAATTCCCTCACAACCGCCCATCAACTCGCATTATCTCAAATGTTAGTCACAAATGTCATAATTAAAAAAAATGCATTAAATTATCACGTACGTAATTTTAGTATTCACCTAACATAGTGTTCTTACTGAGTGTTATTGTTTTGTGATATACTTACAGATAACGTAATTTCTTCAGATAAAGATGGCTATCCTATGAAATGATGCACAGTTAAACAGATAATTTTTACTGGCTATTTCTTGTATTTACAGAAAATAAAAGTAAAATAAAATAAAGTAAGAAGACAATCGTATAATATAAAATGTGGAATCGTTTTGCCCCTCATTTAAAGTTATTCTAGAGTGAGACCACTGCAGACTGGGGACGTAGCAAGTAGCAACGACAACCGAAGCGAGGGAGATGAAACGGAGACTACTTCCATGGCTGAACTAACAAAAAGGGCCTCGAAAGAGTATTTTACACAGAAATGTTCAGTAATAGGATGCACAGTGCCAGAAATTAAAGTTATTTGTTTTCAGGCCAGTGACAAATAATATCGTCATTAAACTTAAAATAAAAGGAAGCGAGTGCTATCAGATCTGAGACTGCACTAGCGGGAGCGGGATAGAGCTCGATAAGGGGTCGTGAACAGTTGAGTGTCGTATGGTAGAAGAGTCCCAACATCTACATGTAGGTATTACAAGTGTAAATACAAATTATTCAGTGTATTCCCCAAAATATCCCATCAAAACCAAGTTACAAATAGAATATCTTAAAAAATCAAAGATTATGTTTATACACATTATTTTAAGACTTTGAAATGAGAATTATTTTTGTAAGTTACATTAAATAAATAATAAATGAAATTTTAACCCTTAGCAAGCCTGTTAAGAATCACACAATATCTACAACTACTCAAGTACTCAGTGGTTTTGATTTGCCCAAACATTTTAAAGTGATGGTTAAGACTTCTTGCTCAAGCATGCGCAGGGTTAAATTTAATATCTTGGAGCCGATTTTTCAATAGTCAGATACAACCTAAGCATTTCAACAGGGAAGGTGACACAATACACTAGTCAAATAACTTTTTTTTTATGTAATGTGATGGATTTTATATGCCAAAGAGGTTTATGACGCCACGAGCTTGCAAACTCGGGAGTTGAGGACTAATCCCATCTTTTTTTCTACCACTTCTGTATGTCAGGATTTACAATTTTACCTCCAATGAAATCCAAACAGTGAAGGTTTTGTAGGGGGATAGCTTACTGCCTTGGAATACGCAACGAATTTAATCAGAAGAATAAAGGAGCCCAAGGATAGGAGGAGGCCCAAAAGATTTTTTATTTTGGAGGAAATCGAAATATACCAGCGTGAGGCAGACAGATAAAAAGGTTTAAACCGTTTTAAGAATCAGATACACCACGAACAAACGTGATATAAATTAAAGGGTTCTATCAGAAGATTTAAAGAAAGTTGCGAATCATGATCCAAAGTAGGGTTAACTTTCGGAGTCACTAATGGTGATGTTTAGATAGATAGATATTTGTATCACCATAATACAATACCATGTTACAAAGGGGTAGGGTTTCTATTCTAGTCTGGCCATTGAAAAATCTGCCTTAATATTTCGTATGCTCCAGATGAAAACCAAACATGTCGCGCAAAACATAATCCTTGTATAGAAGACCATTGTACTAATCTCTCTAAAAAATTGAAAGCTAAGTATTGCTTGGACATTTCATGTTAATCAAATTAGGATGGACAAGTACCTTTTTTTTCTTTTTCTGCTTCTCATCGCCAGAGCTGTCGGAGTCGCTCTCCTGCTCCGAGCTACTGGAAGTGTCGGAGTTAGAAGACTTGGAGCGTTTCTTCTTTTTCTTGCTTGACTCTTGCCTGGAAATTACAACAGTGTACACAACCTCCCATTTTGTTAATACATAATTAAATATTATATGTAATTCATGTAAATACACCTAACTAAATACTGAAGCGAAACAATAAGATAATTACCTATGAACATCCTACGGACGTACGACAACGGATATTGTTAATAATTATATTATTAATAAGTAAGTAAATAATATTGAATGTTGTTTCACAAATTGTGTCATACCTACGTATTAAGTCCCATAACAACTTTTTTTCACTGAAATTGGTAACAGAAATATATGACCAAAATGATAAAGATTTTGAAGTAAATGAACCAATAGAATATTATCTAAACAAATCAATTGAATACTTGCCTCTTTGACAGTTGCAGGGTGACCTGTCTGCATTAAAAGGCAAACTATGAGATTTACTACTTTACAGTAAGTAATTAAAACAAAACTAACACTATTGTAACTATTATTAAAAGAAATATAAATACCTTTCTTTTTTATTCTTTTTCGACTTTTTCTTCTTCAGTTTTTTGCCTTCTGAACTGCTGAAAACAAATAAGATTCTGTTAAACTTGTGCCCTTAATACATATGTATAATTAATCTTCAACATGTAATAGAACTATAGAACCTATAAAAAAAAAGAAAAATAAACTCAGTCTTATTTATGGCAACTGTCCAAAATTTATGGCAACTGTCCACTAATCTTATTTATTATGTCAGAGAATTAAATAAAAAACTTGACCCCTTTTTTTAAAAGTTTTCCTTCCTGTATCAACTAAATGTTATGCTTGACTGAACCACTTTTTGAAAACTTATTCCATGTGCACACACAACTACTAAAGTGTACTTATTAGATTAGTAAACTAATGCCCGTTTTCACCATGAAGTGACCCCTATTGTAACATATAACAGGAATTTTGTTTTCATGGGGTTGATTTTTTTTTCTGGCACTCACGGCTTGTGCATTTGCCAATGACGAGGTGTAAAGGTTGGGAAAAAATCAGGGATTGATGGTGAAAACGGGCATAATACAATGAGGGTTTTCGCGAATGAAAGATCCGCTAGATGGCGGGACGTGGATGTGGGGTTTGACTGCTGAGTGATTGGTGGATTTTGACATATCTGTCAATGTCATGTCAAAAATAACCAATCATGCAGCATTTGGACCTCGCGTCTACGTATTGCCATCTGGCGGATTTTCATTCGCGAAAACCCTCATTAAATGTTATGCTTGACAGGACCACTGTCTGTAAACCTAATGCCATGCGCGGAAATTACACAAATACAGTTCATCATCATCATCATCATTTCAGTCATAGGACGTCCACTGCTGAACATAGGCCTCCCCTAATGCTTTCCACGTTGATCGATTGGTAGCGGCCTGCATCCAGCGCTTCCCTGCTACTTTTACGATGACGACATCGTGTAGGTGGACAACTGTTCCAAATACAGTTAACTTATTTTATTTATTTATTAGGTCTACCAACATTGTTACATTACAACATGTACACTTAAAAATTACAATTATGAACAAAGTTACAATGCAACAACAATTATAGGCTGACACAACATGCAATATAGCAATATTTACCTTCGCTTCTTTTTTTTCTTGGCCACGTGCGCGTCGCGCTCCTCCCGCTCGTTGCTGGGCGTCCGCACCAGCGGGTACCGCTGCGCCTGCTCCCGGGCCCGCCGCTCGTCCAGGCTGCTGCCCTCCACGAAGCGTGGCGAGATCCCGAAGGCGTCCCGAAGCCGAGCGTTCTTCTCCTGCTGCGCTTCCGCGATCGCGTGCGTCTCGCGCACGCTGCCAAACAACTCACGTTCAATATGGCCGACCAAAAAATACTGGAGCACGATTAAAATAATTAACTTTTTAAAAAAATAAAACCGACTTCAAATGCGTGAACACAAAAAAAAACTAAAAATTGAAAATATTGCGTATAAAAAAGTTCATCCCCAATTTTCCACCCTTGGGGGTGAAATATTTTTTTCAAATTATCACGAAACCACCCTTTTGATAATACATATTCAACAAAAAAATAATCGTTCAAATTGATTTATAATCGGCGGAGATATTGCGTATAAAAAAGTTCATCCCCAATTTTCCACCCTTGGGGATTGTTTTTTCTATTATTAAATTTAAATGGGACCACCCTTGAGGTATTACCTATACGCAGAAAAAAGATTTGTTCAAATCGGTTCATAATTGGCGGAGTTATCGCGTAACAAACATAGAAAAAAAAAACATACGGGTCGAATTGAGAACCTCCTCCTTTTTTGAAGTCGGTTGAAAAGTATTTACCTGAACGGCACCTAAGTGCGCTAAAGATAGAAAAATAATAACAATAATTTAGCATTCGCTCTTTATGATCACTAATCTAAATCAAACCGTAAAAGCCCATTAAAATCAATGTTGTGTCTGAGCGAGTATGAAATCGAATCCAATTAGCGCTGTTTCTGCATAGTTATAATTTTTAATTAAGCCATTCGCTCCGTGGCGACTGACGACCTACATAGCTCGCGATAACCGATCGATAGGATTGTGTGCACACCTTATGACGGACCGCATGGACTTCCTCTCCTCGTCGTTGGGGAGACAGACCTGCAAATTGTCGTTAAGGTTGTTGCGGGGTTGGGAACAGTTGCAGCGGCAGCAGCAGGCGCTTCGGAGCCCCGCGAGGATGGTGCGGAGCGCGGGCTCCAGGTCAGCCACGGCCGGCGGCGCCGGGAGGGGCATGACCGCGGGGGTTGGGGGCGCTTCGGGGTTGGGGTCGTGGGAGGACGCGCGACCTCTCCTTTGAGGATCGGCGAGGACAGCTTGGAAGGTGCCCCGCCAGAGCCGTTCGAAGACGACTCGATTGTTTTGTTCGCGACGCGGCGCCCGGCCCCTTTGCATCTTAACCTAATTACAGCTAATGGAAGACTTGGTTTCTTATGCTAAATTAAGACTAGACTAGGTCATGGAAGACTGGTGATATAGGCGGCGGGGCAGCGCTACAGCCTACATGGCAGCGGCCGGCGAGGGGCCGGCGGCGCTACTGCCGTCTGCCGCGTCGCGCGCAGCCTGCGCGGTGCAATCTTCTCATCTCCGCTCCCCGGCGCGCGGCGCCTCTCAAAGGGGCGCTTCCCCTCGCCCTTTGTGCGGTAATCACTCTGACTCGACTATGTTTTCGAAACAATTTTCCTCCCTTGCGGCTGGCGAATTTTTTGCGGAAATCTAATACACAACGCTTTGTTTCCATTTTAATTATTTACATGTAAACTATACGTTCTACTTGGATTAATTCATAGTTTAATTATATAATACCAAATCACCACCAATAATTGAATTTCAATCATATTTTCCGGCGATCACGATATTAATATGGAAAACGTTTCAACTAGTAGGTATACCAATGGCACGATATTATTTTCTGTATCAACTACTCTCACTATCCTTCACATTAAAACAATAGTAATTAGTGATAGATATTGACTACCCATGAAGTAGATATCGAAATGGCAGCATCCTTATAAACTATCAGCAATAAGTGCGCGTCAAAGCGAACATTTGAACAGAGCCGTCGCACCTGCCGCGCGCGATATTGGCGTCTTCTGTTTGTCCTGGCACTGGCAGTCTGGCAAGCAGCGGTGCATAAAATAGATGCTGTCGATTTGTTATTATTATCTTATTGCAACAGATCCATTAATCCAGTTTTTTTTTTGTTTTCGTCACTCAAATACGATGTTTTTTTAAATCCCCACAATATACCAGAATCAGGACTTTACAGTAACGTATTGCTTAGATACTGGTCCAGTGCTGAAAATTACACGGTGCTGAAAATTACCAAACTTTTGGAGTTTTACTCAAAGGCTCTCCTACTACTCGAATAAACAAATGCTCGTGTCGCGTGATTGTATATCACTATCCTCAGTCGTAGAGTGGCAATCACAACAAAATTTGGGCGCGTCACTGGCACGGAAACGACAGGCGGCGAGCGTTCAAACCGCATGTGGTTGTGGTTAGATAACTATCATGCGAAATACAAAATATGAAACTATTGGCCACTGCCAACGAGGTGGAATTGTGTAAAGCAATCGTAATCATTTGACAGTTCATAACGTAAGATTATTCTGTCAAACGCTTTGTTTAACTGACTTAACGTTATGAACTGTCAAATGATTACGATTGCTTTATAGTTCCAAAATACTGGACTGTCCTGTCGATGACATTGACAGTGGGGCGCCACCGTCAACACCGGATCGCTGGTTCAGATTTTTGCCATGTTGGAAACCATATAGTTGAACGATGGTAGCGCCCCCCTGTCATTGAGTTTGGTGGGACAGTTCAGCGTGGGTCATCTATACACAATTCCATCCCTGAATTTCATGTCGTTTTTCCACTGAAAAACTTAAGTATACTTTGAGTAAGTAGATAAACATGGGGTGAGCTTTCGGAGGAGCAGTAAACTATGGTTTGCTCAAATCTATGCTTTCATTTTATTTTTAACCCTTATGTCACCACATAAACTAAAGTTCTGTGTTAATGTTAACATCAAAAGTGTTTTAACATAATTAGCAACCTCGGTAATTGAATTGAATGACAAGCACAAAATTAATAATAAAACAGACGCTTGTAGCTATAGGAATAACGCGACCAGGGTAATTAATTACAGTTGTACATTTCGCCTGTCCGTCTAAGTTTATTAGGATCCCAAACCCAGCGCACAATTGTGTTAAATCTATGTCGGCGTTGTGAAGCGGACTGGCCATTATAAATTAGATCATGCCACACAGACGTTTTACAATTTAACTAATGATATTTCAGCGCGGTTACGCCTATGTAAATGCCAGTTACACGGCTCTCAAAGCGCATTGATCTACACCAACGTGAAATACGTTTTGCTTCAAACAAGACAGAAACTATTTGAAGAGATAATTCGGGCTGTTCCCGCCGTATATTTTAGTAACCCATTTCAATCAATACAAACTGCAAGTCTGTAAATCAATGCTTGTTTATTTTAATTTCTATGCCGCGTCGAGCATAGAAAATAGTTGTAAATGGAACATTTGAAACAGTAGCATGTTTTTAGTACCCACAACTAAATTATCAGTAGAATTTGTTCGCAGCGCGGATTCAAACGGTACGAATAAACACGATTAACGTTTTCATCGTGTAAGTAAAACATGTAAAATGTATCGTAAATATTGATAGCCTACGAGCCCGAGCATTGCTATTTTATTAGATTATGTTTAGCACAAATTGAAGTTTTCATTTCATTATGTCTACTTTTCATCAAAGGCATAATTAAAATTATTATATCAGGTCAGTTAACAAGCCACATCAGTTATTTTATAATCGGTTCGATCGATTTCATAATTTCAATAAGTAATGCACTAGTTATTGGTCTCTAACAAAAGTCATTCTTAGGTTGTTGTCCAGAGAGCTTACAACGTTATTTGTGTTTCTGACTCAAAGTCAGTCTCTAAGACTAAGAGAAGAGTGAGACCTTTTACTTCATTAGTTCTTCCATTGCGTCATGAGCCTGAATAATATAATTGTCCTATAACCGCTTCTTTTCCACGAACTGCGTTAAAATATGCAAAGTCCATAATTAGTGTTTGAAATCAGGGCAAGGGTCGGGCGGGTTCATTAGGGGCGGCGAGCGGGCGACATATTAAAATCCCGAACGCTGACGTCACGGATCGATGTGACAGCGACGAGACAGGAACATAAAATGCTATACTTAACCCAGAAAGCGAACGTCTAGTTAATTGAAAATTAAATTCGCTGTTCCGTGAAATCGGTGAATGAAGAATCGATGGTTTCGATTATGAGCTTTAAGTTACGGAAAAGACTTCGAAGAAGAGTTTTCGAATTCGATTGACTTTGTTTTGTGAATGATCGGAAGAAAATTATCAGACATCATCTGAAATCGCTGAATGCAGCTCACGAGATTTTTAGGTTATTTAAGTCAAGTGGCTGTTCTAGTTTGGTGGAGTCCTGGTATTATTGTGACCAGTTTTAGCTAAAATATTCCATCCGTATACAAGGTCGAAAGTACAGACAAAATAATCCGTCAATCCTTAATTCCCAGAGCGCGCTTCAAATGTCAACAAAATATTAAATGGCCAGCGTTCATTTTAGTAACAAGTTTACATACAAAAGCTTTCCACGTCAGTCCTTTGAGGGTTGAACCATGGCAGCGTCGGATTAAAGGACAAAGGCATTGGGAGAGAACTTCCCTTAAGGGCTATATTGTTCCAGCAATCTTTGTTAGGGTTAATGCTGATATGATGTAAATTGTAAAGCTACATGTATACGATGTTTTCTTTTGTTACAGACACGGCTACAGCTTTTATATCTTTTGAAATGCAGATTAATTGAATAACTTGATTCAGTTTAAAAGAGACTTAGATTTTAGTAGTACCTATTATTACTACATAAATTCCAAACCAATTCCAATCATTGGTCAAATGAAGGGCTGCTTACCAAAATTATTTAAATTTCGTGAAAAATCTATAACTCAACTTCTTCTAACAACGCTTTTTATTAATTTTCCCAGCCTCAAGGGCGTGCAAATGGGCAATTAGGCGCGTACCTATCTGGCAAACGATGTTTTATTGATGAAAATTACAGGTTCGTTATTTGTAAGTGCTTACTCCCTTATTCCTCGTAAACAAAATGACCGCCATCGATATTCCGAATACCTAGTAGCTCAGTATTGATCTGTAATACCTATTCAGGGATTTCCAGTTAGTGCTACCTAATCAGGTATTCATGAATAAAGTTTTGACGATTTTCAATAATCTAGGAGCTTTCTTAGTGGCAATTTCTACAGGTCTGTGTGAAAATTTCATTGACGTGAATCTTTTGTTTTATTCTATTTATGTAGTTCTAAAACCCGAGATCATAATTTGATATTGCTAATACCTGTATTGATTGATATACCTACTCGTAGATTACAAAAGAAAGTTGTTAGACACAATTATTTGTAACAATCTATAATTTAGTCAAGTCAGTGGCTTTTATTTGAATCTGAATTGAAATTCTTCTCGTGTAAAACGACAAGGGTTGTTAATTAGTGTTACACGCCCAACAAAAGTCATTAATCTTATTTAATTAATGCCCAGCGAGGATAATGGATTTGCGAACGGAATTGCCGACTAATTAAAAATCTGTCCAAGGAATATAGTGGACATGCAAAATGCTTATCGGCTACTGAATAATTTATCGGTAATTCGCTTCTGTGGAATCATCGATTAATCAATTGAAACTTCAATAGATTTTTCCCAGCTTTACGACACTATGGAATTCTACCCCGCTTTGTTTTTGTTGTCGGATAGTGTTACCGAAACGGAATACTGTCATCTAATCAGGGATAAACAGGAAACCAATAAAATGAACTGAAAAGGTCAACTTATTTTTATTGGGGTGATACTTGCCAAAGAAAACCTATCAAATACCTACTTCGTCGTTTTGAAATCTCGCTCGTAAATCCTGGAGTATTTTAGTTATATTATGACGTGACATTTCAATTGCAAATGCAATGCGTTAGTGCTAGTTTATCTATAAGTTGATGACTACTTAGCTACAAGCGTCTGCTATTAACCTACTGATGAATTTTTGCATAGTTCTCCTAAAAGAAGCGGTTAAAATAACTATGTTAAACAAGTATTTGCCCAGACTGATCTACTATTTAGGGTCGATCGTTTTGTGCCTGATCATTAACCACCGGCTGAAAGGGTTTGCAACAAACGAAGGAATGGCAAGATTGAATTGTTTAATGGTTTAAAAAATTCTGAGGGAACACGCGAAAGCAATTTTCATAAAAGTATTGAATGAAACCTACCATGTTCGTATGACGTCGAGGAAGATTTTTGCATTAGGCAGGAGATTTTCAAATATGAGTGCATTCTCTATTCTTTATGGCTTTTCTAGATATTTTCAGAAAATTTCCATAAGATAATTAAATTACATATTTTATTCTCAAGCATGATTAAAATTTCAGTTTTAGATACGCAGGCGTGTTATGTAAACGGATTTATTAACACTGGCCGGTAGATGCGTGACGAACGCACGTACAAATTAATACTCGTATTCGCAAACTGATTACCTATAAGCACACGCTATTTATTTGTCCTATTTTCAACGTTAAAATTACAAAGATTCAACTTATTTATTTAGAGTTGTGAATTGTAATTATTGGCCCAAACATAGGACACTTTTATACTATTGTGTGAAAATAACGTTGATTAAAACCGATTTATATTCAAAACACTAATTAAATACACTCGATAACGTAGACAAGAAAATGCAACAATTACCTTCTGCAGTAGAGGAAAGTGCTAGACTTCATTTGCTTATCCAAAACAAGACGATTAATTAACACATCCAGCCCAAATATTTACGAATTTACACTTGTCTAAAAATACACCCCGATCTAATACAATTTCAGCGCTACGCTCATTTCTTTGGGAGCATTTGTACACAAACTGCCGTTCCGTGCCGGCGGAACGTCAAATTGACGCAGATGTAGGAAGGTACTCGTGAATAAAACAATACTTACGCTACCCTCCCGAATTCGTCCCTGGGCACGTCTTTTTCGCCGCCGGCCTCCGCCAACTTCGCCCTGAAGGCTGCCACCCGCGCCGCGATCTCCTCTCGCGGCAACCTGCGCAACCACACCAACGATATACTCATGTTATTAAAATAAAAAAAGTAAAAAACATAGCAAAGGAATCGCCGATACGAGCATCGAGGACCGCTCTGTGTGAACAAGTGCAACGCGAACGTTCAATGAAATATCTGGCGTGCGTACCAATGCATGATACGCCGTGTGTCGTAATCGCGGAGAATTACTTTTTGAAAACAATAAAAGCGAGCGATAAGACGCTCACGGCTCGCGGCCGTAAACTGAGCTCGTTAGCCAGGAGCAGGCGCAGTCCCCGCTCGGGTGGATTATTGATTACACTCCGGCGCATAGGGCCGGCGCCCCTAGCCGAGGGTGCGGACAGACCAATCCCCACAATAGGCCATAGCAGCCCCGTGCCCTTTTCACGACAGGGGTTTACTAGATCGATAACTAACTACACAAAGGTTGACAGTAATAATAAATTTTATTTATTAGTTACAGGTTGTTTGAGATACCACTTCAGTTTGGCCGAGTGCCCCCAGTTGCACGTGATTCCGTGAACTTTCATTTTACATCTACACTATTGTTCAATTTTAAAATAGCATTTGTTTGTCCAATATGTTTAAGGCTTTTAGGAGCCTTATTATCAAATTATGTATTTTTATGCTCGACTTTTAAAGCGCGACTGAATAGAAAAGTAGCATAGCTTTTCATCTCAAAGAAAATTATACACAGAACGAACACTCGCAGAATTAGAGCCTAAATCCAAGAAGTACACAGTATAAAGGAAGGGGATGGTTTTGTAACAGATTATGTTGTGATATCAGTTACGTAACGTGACACATTTGATTGCATGTTCAGAAAAATCACCCTGTACATAAATGAAGGTTTACGCGCGGTGTTTGTTAAATGTTAGCGACAGACGTGCGTGACGGAAGTAAGCCCACGACACACGCACTCACCGGACCCGGATCGAAAGGAGAGTTAGAGTTTTCTATACTATATTACCCAGAATTCATCACAAACTCTAGAAATATCTGGAGTGTGAATAGAAATCAAAAGCATCAAATCAACTTATGCTTGAAAATGAATCTACTTTTGCTGCTTTCCACAATACCTTAGTCCACTAGTAAAAACATCTGGTGTTAAGCCTAATTTTGGGTCAAAATGTTATAAGGTGACTCCAAAGAGAGACTATTAGCTATTCTGTAAGTGACTTATTTGCTGTGTTATTCATGAAAATCTTTCGCCATTAGGCTCTGCAAATGTCTGTTGCGGTCGCCAATCGCCACACGCCGTGTTTTGAGATTGCGTCCAATTCGGCGCACCTACTTTACTGACAATAGTTAAGAGTTGGTAGGGATTTATAAGATTCCTACACCTAACAACATCGATAATACCTTTTTTCATTCTTTTAGCGGAAAATACGTAAGTGGGTCAAGTTTTATTAACCTCAGCAATGGCCCATATATTGTCCTGAAGCAGTGGTAGGGTTAATACTGGGACGTGTAAAAGTGCTTTTTTAAAGCCTACTTACAGAAATAAATCAGTTTTACTGAGTTTTTTTTACTTAGTGCAAGAACTTTTCTTCCAAAACTTTTTCTATGGTCCACCATTTATTTTTTAAGATCTGTATTATTATTTAAGATCCAAATGTACCAACATGATACAATAAACATTTATGACTATGACCACAGAATAAGTAAATAGTACCAAGGTCTATGACTTAGTATATCAATAGAAACTACTTTCAATATTAATAAATATATGTCATAAAAACATAATTGTTAAAAATATGTAATTTAGGAATATTATTGTGACAATATATTAAGATAATAATGAAAGAATTTTTTAAGAAACTGTTTGTAATATCTAGAAATTATCTCTAAACCCTAATAAATTTTACATAAGAAATAAAATCTTTCATAATTTTAAATTATTTCTTTAAAACTTACTACTCAACAGGAATTCCATAATAAATTCATGACTTTAAGCACCATGCCATTGCTCATAACAAATAAAAGTGAATGCCATGGATAAATGCCAATACGATTTGATAGCTGGATGTTAGCCAAAAATACACACCTATAATTTTTAGCGGTAGATGGAGAATTGGAGACCAACATAATATACCACAGTAAAGGTAATTTAATATGAACATAGAAGGTTAGTGACTACTGAATACATATTTTAAGAGCAATATTAGTCAATTTTAATGCAGCAGTATATGGTCACATCATGATATAAAAACTACATAAGGAGAGATGATGAAAAAACAATGCAAAAGATAGTGTCTCACATAGATCTGTGGTCACCACATATTAAGGGCTATGTTCAGCAGTTGATATCCTCTGGCTGATATAATAGCAATTGTGTCAAAGCCCATTTCAGTAGAATATTAATCAAGCCTTACTGAATGAGGGTGCCTAATTTTGCAACACATTTTACTGAACAATCTGAGGTGGAATTGTGTAAAGCAATCGTAATCATTTGACAGTTCATAACGTACGATAAAGTCAATTAAACAAAGTGTTTGACAGAATAATACACAATTCCTCCACTAGCAAGACTTATGCTATAATGAATAGAATAACTTATTAATAATATTACATGACATGACAATATTCTTTGTACGGCCCATATTAATGGAACACATAGCATAACCTATTTATCAACATAGCCCCAATTTTTACTCAACTAACATAAAAGTAAACATTAAAATTAGAAAAATATTTTTCTTTGTAATTCTCATTCCTGAGTTTAACCTGTGTATGATTAGTACTATTATTCTGCATTATTTATTGGACTTGTAACAGATTTGACAGCGTTAATAAATTCCATGCCGTTGGAAATAAATTAACAGCTGTGAAAAATTTTATGACCATGTTACTACTTTTTAGCATAGAATTTTTACTGCAGGCAGTTATAAACTTTAGCCTACTTATAAAATAATTTAAAATGTGAAATTTTAATGTTACATCACCGCATTTACCTAAATATTAGTGAGGATGTGTTTGTAATTATTGACTGAATCACTCACCCTTCCTGTTCCAAAGTGTCCTCTAGTTCTGCACATTTCACTTCGATCTTCCTTTTCCTCTCATGATCCAAGATTTCACGGTTCGGCTGTTTATTGGATGCGGAATCCAATTTCGCTATCTCCTCTTCAGTTCTGTAGTTTACAGAATCTTTGGTTTTTCTTACTGAAGCCCAATTTCTTTGCACATAACCATTAGTTCCGGAACCTCGCGGTGTAGTCAATCCAATACCATTATACATCTTGGTGGTTTATTTACCTAAAAAAAGATTTTTGTAAATCGTAGTTGTGCAGCGGCCGTGGCGTAATTTTAATAGTTACATCCGTAAAAACTTACACTTGTTACAAACTTTGAGTTCTTAATTAAAAAGGATATGAATATAGAGAGTTCATTAATTATTCTCACCATTTACAAGCACCTGAATAAAATATTTCACACGAAAATTATCTACACGTCCATCTTGACTGCTCACACTTTTTTATGAATTAGTGTTGCGCTTTTGTTTGAGCATTTGATATTGATATACTCGATTTTTACTATTCGATTTAATTGAATCTATAATGTCTGTTAAATTGAATAGTCAATAAAAGAATAAAGTTGTGAAGTTTAAAAAATCTTTCATAAGTAGCAGGTTTTTAGTCCAGTCAATGAATGCTTTAATGACGGTGTAGTAGAGGGAAATGCTATTAAGACTAACTAAATATCTATGCATCGTTTCATCCACGAAGACGCGCCCCACCATTTTTCCGCGAATGTTTGAGTGTTATCGGTACACGGTAAATTATCTTTATCAATATGAGATAGTAAAATGAGAGCAGTTGAGCACACACGCACACTAATGACGCTTGGATTACTCAGATCAAACTTCCCGCACGCCACGCTTCCCTCGACCAAAAATTGTTGGGGCCCGTCTTCGTGGATGAATCGATTTATAATCAAAAATGAATCTATTCAATTGAAAGTCAAGTAGAATCTGTTCTTGATTTTATTTTATTAATAACATCACTAGTGTCCAATGACGTCATGCTCGCTGACATATTTTATGAATGTAAATTTTTGCCTGCGGATATTTTGTGGATAAAATATTTTGAACCATTTCATTGCATTTCATTGATGAATTATAATAACGGAAATTAATTATTTTTTTAACTAATAGAATTATCAGTCAAAAGGCATTATAGAGCATAAAAAATATAGGCAAAAGTCATCACAAATTAAAGAGCTAGTTTGGCTAGAACCCAGAGCCCAGAGCCGTAAAAAATGGAATCAAACATTAAAAAAAATACGTCATTGTTGTTTGGGTTTGAGGTTATGTAGTTTGTTTACCATTATTTCTTGTGAATAGTAATAAATATTTTTTATTATTTGTACTTTCTGTGACTTCGATCTACATCAAAATGCTGGATAAAATATTATACAATACAATTCTCGGCCAAACATTTTCTCCTTGTGGGAAATATTTAGTCGCCGGCAATATCTATGGACAACTGGCAGTTTTTGAGTGAGTTTATTTTAGTCAATTTTAAAGAAAATAAGTGGAAAATAACTACAGAAAGCGAAAAATGTGGTGTGTATTCATATTCTAATGAAAATTTCTTGTTATTTTTTCAGTCTTGATCGAATATTGAATCCTGTAGTCGAATTGCTTACGACGGATTACAATCAGCCCAAACACATACATAGTCTTGATTCAGGCCATCATATATGCAGTTTAGCTACTACAGAAAAGTTTCTGATCGTTGGATCTGTTAATTTCATATATGGATGGGACTGGAAGGGTGTTTTGGGTGCAAAGCTGAGCAAACCATCATGGGTGATCAAAATACCGTCTCAGTCTGCGTTGGAACAGATAGATGTCAATAGCCTCTGGGTGTCTGACGATGAAGGGAAGCTGTATGCAGGTTGTGGCGATAATAAACTGTATGTTTTCAATCTGGAGGATGGACAGCAAACCTCAGTTATGACTGGACACACTGATTACATACACTCAGTTCATGGAAAGTGAGTATTAATACCTAAATCTTTACGTTTTACACCCTATGATCATTGATAATATCTTCAGTACTTATTCCTTTGTTAGGCATTTAGAAAAGAAACCTTTAAAGTAATTGTTATAGTAAATCAAAGTTTTATTTTTAGGAATAACCAGCTAGTCACTGCAGGGGAGGATGGTGATGTCCTCATATGGGATGTAAGAATGGGCAAGTCCCATAACAAGTTGAATCCCCACAGCAACAGTAAAGTCAGCCGTCCAGACATCGGCAAGTGGGTTGGTTCTGCAGCCCTAGGAGATGACTGGATTGTAAGCAATTTGTATTATCCTATTCTATTTCAATGATATAATATTTAGAATGATTTCTTGAACTTATCACACCTATATTTTTTCAAGGTTTGTGGTGGAGGCCCTCGCCTGTCTCTATGGCACCTACGCTCACTAGACGCCGTCACAGTATTCGACCTACCTGACCATGGCATCCATGTGTCCTACTTCCACGATGATTGTATAGTAGCAGGAGGCACAGCCAAGCATTTGTACCAGTTGAACTACTCCGGAGAAATCAAAGTTGAACTACCAGTATCGGCTACTACAGTCTATTCTGCAGTGTTGAGGACGAGCCCCAATAAAGTACTGGCTATCGCAGGCTCAAGCCCCGAAATCGATTTGTGCACAACATTCAACTACAGAGATCAAATATTACATTTTCGGTAAGTTAAAATAGTTGTTTTAGTAAATAAACTTATGTATAAGTTTGTAATAAAAGTCAGTTAAAACAATTATCAGTTTTTATTAACAATTTACACCTCTAATGTAGTCTTTGAAACTTTCTACACACACTACACACCTTGGCCATTAAAAAATAAGACCAAGTTATTTATTGTTAAATAATACTTTCATGGACTTGATTTTATTCATACTGATTGATGACATTCATGAATTATGTATCTTGATTAGTTGCAGTGGCCAAAGTGTGGATTTGAAGCTTTTATACACAATATTATACACACATTCAAATATAACCATGACCAGCAATGGCGGCCGGTATGAAACCCTGTGTGCCATCTTTCTTCCTAACATAGAACCACTCGGCGTCAACGTCCGATTCCACTGCGGTCCCTTGCACTAATATCACCACGTCTCCCTGCTGCACTGACAGAGTTCTGTTCAAGTCACTGCCCCTATAGTCACTGTTAACCACCAACAACGTTTGTCTTTTCACTTTTAGATTTTCTTTTTCGTGGACTCGGTCGATGTTGGAGCAGACGGATTTGGTCTTTAGGTATATGGTGTCAAAGTCCTTTTCAGCGCAGTTGTTGACGCGGCGCCGAGGACGGTAGTGCGACTCGGAGCGGGTGCGCCCGCGCAGTTGCTCCTTTTCTGTGTCCGTGAGGTTCCCGCACGGCCGCGGGTAGATGTCCGTGCTGCTCTCCCAGCAAGGCGTCTTCTTTTGGGGCGATGACCTGAAAAAGACGAATTTTTCGATCAATTTTAACTGTCATTATCTACCGAATTGCTAAAACCAAGTGGCAGTGGGCGGGGCACATAGCTCGTAGAGACGATGGCCGTTGGGGCAGAAAAGTTCTCCTACTAGGTGGACCGACGATCTCGTAAAGGTCGCGGGAAGAGCCTGGATGCGGGCAGCGCAGGACCGTGCATTGTGGAAAACTTTGGAGGAGGCCTTTGTCCAGCAGTGGACGTCCGTCATTTGGCTGAAACGACCGAACGAACGAACGATCTACCGACTAAGGTATATTTTCATAGGGAACCCTGAGGAACCCTATGAAAACAAATTCGCGTAAATTTTACGTTTTACGCCGTAATAGGTACGTCTGTCTATATTTCAATCCATACCAAAATAGTCCAACTACATATATTATTTACCATTTCAAAAGCAAAATGCACTTGCATATTTATCGATCTAAACCAATTTTAAATATTGGTCNTATTGGTTATATCTCTCTGTGTAATACGAATCGAATTGAAACCACTTTACGGAGCGACCTTTAATTATTCCTGAGTATACAATGTAGGCAAGTTTATGTTCATTATAGGTATCGCCGCCCCTTGAGTGTTTGCGTATACTGTCATCTCTCATCCTTAAGAATAGATATGCTTCCTGATTGTTACTGAATTACTAACTTTGTAATTAAACGTACCTGTTAGGCAAAATCCCTAGCGGCAGGCATGCGTTATACATGACGTATCCTTCGTCCCCATGCGGCGTCTGCACATATAGCCACTGCTGGTTCTTGAACACAGCATTGACGACAGTCCCGAGGGGCAAAGTTAACTCCCTTTGGGAGTCCTTTTGCGTCTGGTAAAGAGTTGTAGGGTACGCCACCACCACCGGAATGTTGCCCGGCCGGTCTATCGAGGCCTATAAATGGCAGTTAGGTAATTGATTAATGTATGCACGATACTTGGTAGTAAAGTACTTAATGCACTAAGATAGACTTGGTCAAACGCTTTATAGAAATCGAAACTTAATGACCCTCATAAAAAGTTTTTAATTGTATCGAACGTGAATGAGCTTTATTCGCGGCAAGTTAATTATGGCATGCACACTGTGTGAGTCTCCAGAATAAAAATAGCCAATGTAATCCATGAAGCGATCTAATTTCCATTCAAAACCACAGGTAAAAGAGTAATAAATATTCAAGCTTAATGTTTCAGATTTATGACACGGAGGAACTCAGTTCATAAATTATTTCTCAAATGACACATTACATTTCACACTCAATAAATTATAAATGTTCAAAGGTCGGAAACGAACAACTGCAACGTATATGAACCTATAGTCTCCCATTAAATTTAACATTACGAGTCGAATGGTCCTGCGCAATGGGGATGTTGCCTGGGTCAAAAAGCAAGAGTTTTAATTAGTCCGTCAGTTAACTTATCAAAAAATACTCTACACGTATTTTTCACTTTTTCAAACTAATGAAAATTTAAAGAGATAAAGCGCCCCAAAGTTCATAAGAAGAGGCCCGTGACGTCAACGCTTGCTTAAAAATGCCGCACGTTGTGACGTCGTGCGCAACTTCAACGCACCATAACTATGTAATTATTTGTTAGATTGACAAATAAAATTATATGTGTCCAATATTTTTTGATATTAAACATTACGGACTAAAAAAATTTTTTTAGGCAACTAGCCTATTAACACCGTAACGCTTAACCTCACCAAGATATATTGTTGTTTTAAATAAACTGCATTGATGAATGGACCCGTCCACTTTAAGATTAACGTTAAGCCGCCGACGACACCAAAATAGGCCAAAAGAACATAACAATACGGATTATTATCCCGAAGATAATGCCCGGTAATCGTCCGTTCCGAAGCCCAAAGCGAAACTCTTTATTAAACGTTCCCAAAGATTTCGAAAATGACGAGCAATTTGTGCCTTGTCCAATTTTGCGCCAATTTCGCGGCCTACAATGTTCAATACTCGCTCGGGATACGCACAAAAAACAGATTGTAT